CTTAATATCTTTCTGGGTCCTGTTATCAGTGAAATGCAGTCACCTCAACAGTAACCTTGGTTACTACAATATCAACATGAATTGTTAATTTGTAGTGTCATTTGCTGTGGAGTTGGGGATGAATATCAGCCTCTTGACAGGTCTAATTAATATATGTCCATTACCAGGTTTTCATAAATAGTGAAGCTACAGTCACTTTCAGGAATTGAATCCCACTTATGGTATGTCCCCACTGACATGGCTGGAGAACCCTACACATAACACTAACCTAACATCGCTGCTGAGGTTGCTCACCAATCTTTTAGGGGAAGTAAACTCAACATCCCATCTTTGCAGATATAAATACTTAAGGGCATTCTTAATCACAAACGCTTGACCAAAATCAAGTTTGAAAATGGAAACAGCATGAAACAGACAACAGACTAAAAAGTCAGCCAAACAAAACAATCTGCCACTGGGCTCAAAACGGGTTCCTGTTGTTTATTGCTGTGCGCAATTTCAATGATTGGGTCGGCCAGTCTCCCTGCTTTCGCTTTGAATTTTTAAATCACATTATGGTGCTTTTCTGTCTGCTCATTCATTTGATTATTGTGTCCACAACTTATGCCATGAATAGATAACAACATAAAAGACATCCTCTTTTGTCTACACAGGGGATTAATCCTGACAAGCATTCATTGTATGGAATAGGGCCGACGGCAGCAGGTGATTTATGGTACCCAAACAGGATGTTAATCATAAAAAGCTTGTTACAGATATTGTTATTTTAATCATTCATAATGTCCTAGATCAAAGGTCGTTTCACACATTCTACAATGTATGCAATGCTGTTTGTATAGTGAGTGAGTATGGTTTTATGCCGCTTTTAGCAATATTCCTGCAACATTACGGCGGGGGACACCAGAAATGGGCTTCACACATTGTATCCATGTCGGGAATCGAACCCGGGTCTTCGGCATGATGAGCAAACGCTTTAACCACTAGGCTACCTGACCGCCCCGCTGTTTGTATAGAATAAGGCTATTAACAGAAATAGCATCATTTTAGGTTTTCTCATGACTGATCACTTCTTGGCTGAAAAGTATACCTTCCCAGTAGATAGATGATGCCACTAAGTATTTTAGCCAAGGAAAACATTTGTCCTGCACCGCAGCACAAGTAGCCTGGTCATTTAGGCATATCAAAAAGATATGCTTGGTTACGGTCACCCGAAACTACCTACATTTACTCCCGACCCTACCTACATTTACTCCCAACCCTACCTACATTTACTCCAGACCCTACCTACCTACATTTACTCCCGACCCTACCTACATTTACTCCCGACCCTACCTACATTTACTCCCGAACCCTACCTACATTTACTCCCAATCCTACCTACATTTACTCCCGACCCTACCTACATTTACTCCCGACCCTACCTACATTTACTCCCGACCCTACCAACATTTACTCCCGACCCTACCTTCATTTACTCCCGACCCTACCAACATTTACTCCCGACCCTACCTACATTTACTCCCGACACTACCTACATTTACTCCAGACCCTACCTACATTTACTCCCTACCCTACCTACATTTACTCCCGACCCTACCAACATTTACTCCCGACACTACCTACATTTACTCCCGACCCTACCAACATTTACTCCCGACCCTACCTACATTTACTCCCGACCCTACCAACATTTACTCCTGACCCTACCAACATTTACTCCCAACCCTACCTACATTTACTCCCGACCCTACCAACATTTACTCCCGACCCTACCTACATTTACTCCCGACCCTACCTACATTTACTCCCAACCCTACCTACTTTTACTCCAGATCCTACCTACATTTACTCCCGATCCTACCTACATTTACTCCCGACCCTACCTACATTTACTCCCGACCCTACCTACATTTACTCCCAATCCTACCTACATTTACTCCCGACCCTACCTACATTTACTCCCGACCCTACCTACATTTACTCCCGACCCTACCAACATTTACTCCCGACCCTACCTACATTTACTCCCGACACTACCTACATTTACTCCCGACCCTACCTACATTTACTCCCGACCCTACCTACATTTACTCCCGACACTACCTACATTTACTCCCGACCCTACCTACATTTACTCCCGACCCTACCTACATTTACTCCCGACCCTACCTACATTTACTCCCGACCCTACCTACATTTACTCCCGACCCTACCAACATTTACTCCCGACCCTACCTACATTTACTCCCGACCCTACCAACATTTACTCCCGACCCTACCTACATTTACTCCCGACCCTACCTACATTTACTCCCGACCCTACCTACTTTTACTCCAGATCCTACCTACATTTACTCCAGATCCTACCTACATTTACTCCCGACCCTACCTACATTTACTCCCGTGGTGATAATATTTACACCGAGGTGAAAACTATTTCCACCGCGGTGATAATATTTACACCGAGGTGAAAACTATTTCCACCGCGGTGATAATATTTACACTGCGGTGGAAATAGTTTTCTGTGTATTCATTTTAGTTTTTGACATTTTCGTTTTGTGTTTTTGACATTTTCATTTTAGTTTTTGACCTTTTCGTTTTGGTTTTTGACATTTCCATTTTAGTTTTTGACATTTTCACTTCACATTTCAGCGACTCAAAAGCTACTTTAAAGTACATTTTCTATGTTTTCGGATGTTTTTATACATGATTTATCACATATTTGTATGGCAGATTGTGTTAATTTGCAAAAGGTTAAGATAAAAGTAAGTTAAACATCAAAATATTGAAAAACAGACTCCATGTCCCTTATGGGCCACCGTAAAAACCCTTTATTTTTCATCATTTTGTTCTGTGCTGACAATATGATTTCAACTTTCATTAAATTCTCTTTTACCTGTTTAAAGATTGATTGTATATCTGACATGTTGTGAAAAAAGTTTTTGTTGTCATCCATGCAACACGAGACTGGAAGTTATAGATATGCCAGGTAAAATATTTGAAAAAATAAAATAACTTTCCTACCTACCCTCTTTTATTTTTCCACGTAATAGGAACCAAACCTATTTTTTGATAGGCCTTAGATACTCTATACAAATGTCATAAATTTACTATCTAAAAAAATAACTAAATTTATTTAGGTGAGGTGGTGAAATGGGGTTTAACGTCACGTCCAAGATTATTGCACTTATATAGCGACGTGCATGCACGTGTGTGTCTGTGGCTGCTTGTACTAGTCCGGACTGATGCCGATTTATAGTGCTAGCACACTGAGATACCATGCCGCAGTTTAACATGTATACCCAACTCAGACACAGTATACTGACTCCGAGCCGACCAGTCCTTGTTTTAGCCCCTTAATGCCGAGCGCCAGTCAGGGTAACAACAAGTACCATCTTTTAACGTCTTTTGGTACGACGCAGCTGGGGTTCGAACCCTAGACCTTCCGCTCTCCGGGTGGACACTCTACCATTAGACCATTATGACACATGCCATTAAGGAATGTTGCTAACTCATATATCTTTCCCACAGATAATTCAAACACAAACACATGAAAACATCATGCAGCATCAATTGGTTGTATCAATGAAATTTTACACAAAATGCCTCAATTTAACTCACAACGCCTACAAATGGTCAAATGTAGACTGAAAATCAGTACCAGATCATTGGTCAGATGCCCATTCATAATTCAATACCGTATTCGACATAATAAGCACCCCCGCTCTAATAAGCGCCCACGGCGATATTCGCTAATATATTGGCTAATGAACAATCCCAATTAGCACCCCTTCTGATTGATGAATGTACACAAGACTTATTTATGCGCATATAATACGCACTCGTGTGATATATGCACCCATAATTAATTAAGGATTGACTGTGTATTTTTTTCGGTTCATTGAGGTATGAATCGAAAAGCCGATGTGCAAACTGTATGAATCCGCGTAGCGGATTCTTACAAAAGTTTGCACATTGGTTTTTCGATTCATACCTCAATGAACCGAAACAAATACACAGTCAATGCTTATAATTAAATTCGACAACATAAAACATGTTTTATCTACAATAGTTTAACCAAAAACAGTTGTATATATCAAAACAGACAAAAATGACGACATTGATAAACATTCCAGGTGTAGGAATACATACTGTGGCGTGCATGAATCAGGTGATTGCTTAATTTATGCACATAAATTGACACGCCTACACTGTCAGTAGCCAATCAACGGAGAGCAGGATCAAAACAATGTTCATTGGACCTGTCAGTTAAGACAAGTGGCGAAAAGAACTGCAACAGTCAGACTGTAACGAACCGGAAGAAATATGTCCGGGAGAATTTTTTTAAGGCGGCTGTTTCAAATTACATGGTCAGTTACCGCCAGATTCAAACATTACTTCCCTGATTACGGTAAAACACAGTTGGAAAAATGCTAGTTAGAAAGGAAACCCGAAATCATGAAAGTTGAACCGAGGCGAGCAGAAACAAAAACAGGCGAGCGAGCCTGCATGTTTGCTGTTTGATTCATTCTCGGCCTTCGGTTTCAAAGGTTTGTTTGGACAATGAATATGCATGAAAGTCGCTAAATGTCCTGTGCATGACGATGCACGTGAGCAGAAAGGGATCCCTCGGCTGTAATATTGGGATTCCCCGACATTCCGAAGTAATAAAAGTAGTGCGCCTCGGTGGGCGTGGCTTAATTTTTTACATTCATTGGGAAATGAATGCAATAACACGTGACCAATTCAGCTAATCAGAATACAGGAATTTCAATGAACACAATGAAAATTTAATTATTGGCAATTAAATTCTGTCGGCAAAAAAATATATCTGTCGTACATAAACATTTCAGGCTGTCAGCATAAACCATGAAAGTTATCTTTCAACTCTGTTTTTTCCACCAAAATAATATTCTAATAAGAGCCCCCTATTTCTAATTTTGAGAGCGCCCTGGGCGCTTATAACGTCGAATACGGTAATCACTTCCAGCATAACTCACCCTTCTCTTCTGAGCCTTGGAGGCCTTCTTTTGTTTTACTTCCAAATCAGTCTGGGCAGGAGTTGTCTCCCCCTGATCACCAGATCCCAGCAGCCCAAGCTTGTCAATGACCTCCTCTACCTGCATACAGACACACCAAGTGTTGGGAATAACTCAAACATGTAACAGCCTTCACAGATCTAAACCCTGGAATATCAAGAACATTCAACAAAGTACCTATGGCAGACAAACTGGGAAAACATAAGCTTGTTGAAAATTTGGAAGTTTGTTAAACATAGAGGATGTTTTAGTATTCAGTACAATAATTGTCAAACTAAGTATTGAAGTATTGTTGTCTTTACTGGACAACTTGTCAGTAAAACACAAACTAACTTTTCAAAACTTAGACCTTATCCACAAGTGTTATGTTTCTAATAACCTTAATTAGGACATTTTAGCTCCAATTTAGGTATTTTTACAGACATGTTTTGCAGACTTGGGTCTACATCTGAAATCCCTGAAAACCACTGGCTACTCAACATGTTGAATAGCATTATACTACAACACTGAAACCAATTACACACAATACTGAACAAATATTGTATGCCAATTTGTCTTTGGCATTCGAGGGCAAGTTGTCATGAAGAGTATCAAGGCTGATCGTCTTCAGGAAAAATACTTTAGACAATGTTTGGTTTTGATCATGTGAGACTGTGTTGACCAAGAGACAGTAACAAACTGGCACTATTTACAAAGAAAATGTCTATTGAATTTGAAAAATTTTAAGCTATTTTCATTATCTGTCTTTGATTGATATAAACAACTTTATCGATATAATCAAAAACAAATTAAAGTGTGAAAACTAGGGCCGTTACGTTTCACTCGCGTATTTGGTGAATTGAACCGTATCCATTCATGAATTGAATTCGTTATTCGTGGCCACTAGAATCGAATATTTATGAATATGCAATTATGTGCATTTACATACCCTGTACCTAAAACATCCATAAGAACATATGATATGCGTAGATTTTTTTAAAGACAACACTCTTATAATATTTCATTTGACAGGATTGGGTCACTTGTCATTGTAGCATTTGAGCAGATACTAAGACTAAGTACCTGGACAAGTGCAGTATATAAATGTATAATATAGATAATTAACCAACCATGTCAAATAATTAATGTTGTTAATGTTTCACTGAATATAACATAAAATACATCAACTGCTGACTTATTACTGTATTCGTGAATTAATATTCGTATTCATTACCCTATATTCGTGATACGAATCGTATTCGCCTCATACTGTATTTGTTGCAGCCCTAGTGAAAACACATACAATCCATGATAGTTTGCACATGATACAATTTTACAAAGGGAATTCACTAATCTTCTTATATATGTGTTGGGGAGTATCTCTGTGCGCGTGTATTTGTATCACGAGAAACATGAATGAACAAAGGAAAAAAGTATCAGTGACATGATTTTGGAGTAAAAAATTATTTAGATTCAGGTTTACTCAAGGCCACACCATGCTTCTAATGATCCATATTTTCTCTCGTCGATGTTCCTTATGATAAAGGTACATGCCATATTTGTTAGTTGTTTAACGCCACAATAAACAATATTCAAGCTGTGGTCGGCCTGTATAGAATCAAGTAAGAGAGTTAGTATTCCAGTTAGATAACAGTGCATTAGCTTAATGTGGGAGGAGACCCCGAAGTGATGCAGGTCTCAGACGTTTACCACTTTTGTAAAACCAACGAGCACGGGTATGGTGATGACAAACCTAGAAACATAATCGTGGTGGATTGGGATTCAAATCCACTATCATAGGTTTCTGGCGTGCCCAAGGGATCAATTCTCCACAGCGAAACGTGGTGCCTTAGACGACTGGGCCTGCGTGTTCTTTGCCATAGGAAGAATTAACAGGAACTTTGATGCATATAGCGAAGAATATGTAATGAATGATCGAACAGAATCTACTACAAATGGTTTTATGAAACTTATTGCTTTCTTGACATCCCTTGCTCGTATTGTTTGACATATTTGATGAGGTCAGAGTATTGTAATCATGCTAATGTTATTAAAATCAGATCATACGGTGATGAAAAACCTAGGAACATAATCAGGGAACGGGGATTCGGTCTTTGGTTTCTGGAATGCCCAAGGGAGGCAACTCTGCAAAGCAAATTGCGATGCCTTGGACGACTGGTCCACCTGCGCCCCCAAAAGTAATCTAGAAGCGTACAAACCAGTGGTAGATAGCATGAGTAACATTCTACATCAGCATTTGATGCATTATCAACAAATCCCCCATCCTCTGATAATCCATTGTACTGTATCAACATTCTGTTGTCATGGTTTCCCCCATCGTGATTCTGCTGGAATATTGCTAAGAGTGGCATAAAACCCAACACACTCACTCACTCAGTGAATTGGTCCATGGTTTTAATCAAATAGAATGGAGATATAATGTACTGTTTGTTTGTTCTTGTTTAACGCTGCACTCAGCAATATTCAAACTATATTACTGCTGTCTGTAAATAATCAAGTCTGGACCAGACAATCCAGCGATTGACATGAGCATCGATCCACGCAATTAGTGAGTGAGTGCGTGAGGAAAGCAATTAGTGAGTGAGTGAGTGAGTTGGGTTTAACGCCGCTTTTAACAGTATTCCAGTTATATCGCGGCGTGTCAGCTTAATGTGGGATGAAAGCCGGAAGTGATGCAGGTCTCTGACGTTTACCACTTCGGTGAAACCCACGAGCACGGGTATGGTGCTGACAAACCTAGAAACATAATCGGGGCGAACCAGGATTCGAACCCACAATCATAGGTTTCTGGCGTGCCCAAGGGACGCAACTCTGCACAGCAAATCGCGGCGCCTTAGATGACTGGGCCACCCGTGCCCCCCCATGCAATTAGGATATGATGCCTGGATTATAGAGGATGGGAATACTGATGGGAGTTACATCGCCCACATGATCTGTATGATGATGAGAACTGTTTTAAACTTTTTCATGGCACTCAAGTGGGCCATTCACGTCTAGTCATATCTAGCATGAACATGACACCATTGCTCCATGTGTATAACTATCACACTGTAAGTCATGGACCACATTAACGCATCCTCATTAGGCCTTGTATATAACTGTTTTGTTCCTTTACATGACCAACCGTCTTAAAAAAATGAAAGTAGAAAGAAATGACTTTTGAGAAACAACTTTTTGCATGGGAAAATGAAAAAATACACACATCTTATCATTGCTGTTTGCAAGAAATGGTGAAAAATACATATAAAAATCTTTATTTAAAACAAATTCCAATCAATTATCTTTTGGTATCTCGCCATGTTAAATGTGTTTGTCTTTCATTCATTAGCAGCATTACTAATCTGGAATTTGAAAATTAAAAAAATAATTTTTTCGACCACTTCCATTGAATTTAGACCAAAATGTTTGTAAATCAACTAACAAAATATAAAAGACCTAAAAATCACATCTTTTGATACCTCTCTGCATGTGAATCTGACAAGCCCTCCATAGGTCGTGTCTGGTGAACTCTGAGCAGTCCAATCTAAAGGAAGGATGCATGGGCTCTTGTGCCAATCAGATTTAGCTTAAATTTTTTAACACCTCAATTTAGAAATTTGAATGTTAAGAAAAGAAAACCAACACTGAACATGAATATTCTCTCAATGGTACTCCCTTTTGGATGTTGGTGCCATGGTGATGAGAAATGACAAGAGTGAATAAAATATCCCATACAACATAAGCATGATAAGGGTGCAGTATATATTATTTACATGCAGAACTGTCCTTTTAACTTCATTTTTGAGATATAGAAATCAGATATGCTGGTCTGAATTATTTGCTCACTTGTACTGAGAATTTCTAAGCCTTGATGTTGATTGGCTGAATTTCACACAGAGAGGTATCGTATGAGAGTAAAAGATCTGATTTTAATGAGAGTGAGTAGGAATACATTACCTTTGCACCATGTGTCTTAAACTCCTCTAGTTCCGTTTCATGTCTTTGTGTTATTTCTGCCTCCAGTGCCGCAACCTGTTCTGCCATCTCCTTTTTCTTCTTCTTGTCACCTTTCGGTACAGCATGCTTCAATTTCTGAATGTGAGCTGAAAATTTAAGAAAAAACGTCTAAAAAAAATAGATGATCTAAATCCCCTCTATGTATTAGATGATAGGCTGAGACCAGCATCAAAGGCTGCCAAAGAAATCCATTTCATATATTCTTGATAATGATCGTAACATGTCAATAGTGATGGCAGTTCATATGTTACCATGGTTACTGGCTCAGAATCCACATTCAACATTCAAATACACAACTTTCCAATTATTGTATAGTAACATCCTGTCACATGGCCATCAACATGATCAAATGTTTCTCATGACACACACACACTAATATACTGATACAGTAATTATACACATTAATTAAAGTCTTTAATTATGAATAATCATCATCAGCTTACCTTATTCACTTTACATGAAAATTCCTTTTTTTTTAAAAAAGTATACTTACTTTCACCCTTACTTATCAGTAACAGTGATTTATCTACAATTCTGAACCACGTGCCCTTGGCAGGCAATTTTGGAAAAATTCTGTATTTTGTTCAAATTTCAGATTTGTTTATATTGTTATTTTAATAAATTCAGAGGTATTTTAACACTGTATTTTAACACTGCATTCAATGCAATAATGTTGAACTAAGCAAAAAAACCTCTTCCACTATATTGGTCCTGTGATCAGTGGAATACATCTCTACAAAGCCCAAATTTGATACAGATATGATTTAAATTTGGTCATGATATAGAACATGTGGGAGAATGTGCCACCAAATTTGTTAAAATCATCATTGATGCATTCTGTTGTAACTAATTATCATCAAAAACAGTTGACCGTTCACATGGTTATCTGATTATAGTTATTTACACAGAAGTACACCTTGATCCTCTCAAGAGTTAGAAACTATGTCCCAGAACACATCATAAACAAATTAGTGTGGACTAGTGAAAAAATATGTCCCTGATGAACATAGATTTTATAAGTGACAGCTGTTGTAGCATGCATATTGTTTCACTGTTACAGTGTGTAAAAGTAATCTGTGTATATTGTTCACAACAAATTTTAAAGATGCATGTTCCTTGAATCCTTTATCTTCATTAATGATTTGATTGTCAGTTGTCAGAATACTGCAGATTCAGAATACAACAAGACTCAGAATTCAATGGCATGAATATAATGACATTATGAAAATCATAAACAAGACTAGAAATGTATCAAACATGGAATACAGCGTGAATACAGTGTAAACAAGGCTGTTGTATTGATTGAACGAAGCGTCAGTAAAAGATGGAAAAGTTCATCCGAAATGCACGGTCATCAAAAATATATTCATATATACAAACAGAAATCCCAAATAGTGAAAGACAAAGAAACATATAAAACAAGTTTGAGTGTACCTAATAACTCTTTTCTCTCTTTCTTTTGTCGTTGTATAATGGCATCCTCTGACACTTCTACCTCACCATCCATAGTCGAACTGCCGTGAGTGGCCATGACACAGGAAGCACGTTGACTGGAACTCTTCTGCTAAGAAAAACACGTTTGGACTAAATGCGGAAGTGATGTTGTGATGTAAATATAGATTCTTGGAGGTGTTCCCCAATCCATTAGCAGTTTCAAGAGTCGCCGATCTTGTGGCGACTGAAAATGGTATGCATGTGTATATATATTGTAAACATAGTTCTCATTTATGTAATGTTTTGTTGGAAAGTGTTTTAGTAATTTGGCAGGGTACATCTGTGCGCTAAATCCTTTGAGTTCACTGATTATCTGTGCTAGGGCCTAGATCTACGTTTGTGGACTATGAATGATAATTTGTAAATTCATCTGCTTCATTGATCAGACACCACTGTTAAATTTTGTTTTTCTCCATTAGATATAAAGTCACTGTATAATCATACTCATCGGGTATACAGCATGCAGTATATATCTCTTTTGGTTCGTTTGACTCATATATATTTTTACTTCATTTATCATGCTTATCATGCTTATGTGAGTAAGTGAGTTGGGTTTAATGCCACTTTGAACAGTATTCCATTTATATCATGGCGTGTCAGCTTGATTCAGGAGAATAGCCTCAAGTAAAGACGTATTGCCTCACGTGATGCAGGTTTTAGACATTTACCACTTTCAAGAAACCCACAAGCATGGGGATGGTGCTGAAAATCAAGAGACATAATTGGGGGGAACCGGGTTTAGAACCCACAACTCTCTCTACAGAGTTCTTACTTGTCATTAGGATCCATTAGTTGTGGGCTTGTATCACAGATTCTGATCTTTGATTTGTTAGCACCAACTATCAGTACAACATATACAATTTTATACAATTACAGCATGTATATCATGGTATGTACTGTACAAGTTATAAGTCAATTATTGATCCGACTTGTAAATTCAAGTTTACTGTAATACTCAGACAATTTGCAGAAAGTGGACATTTTAGATCTCTGAATATCTTAACTTTTTTATGCATACTGTGGAAGATTGCAGTGTAAGTCACAAATCCTATCTCTTCATCCCTTGTCTAGTAAGCTTCATGTGATTTGCTTTTATTATGTTTATACACCTAAAAAACTTCTAGGATAGAATGATGAAAACCTTTTTTGCTCGTAATACGAAGCTGGGGCATATGTCTTAACAATTAAAGTATGAGGTTTGATAGGGGGCACACACAACCCAGCTTCAATTTGCTGTACAGAGTTGGGCACACCAGAAATCTGTGACCGTGGTTCGAGTCCTGGTTTGCCTCGAATATGTTTTTAGGTTTGTCCACCATACCCGTGCTCGTGGGATTCACCTAAGTGGTGGTCTGAGACCTGCATCACTTCAGGCTTCCCTCCCACATCAAGCTGACATGCCATGATTTAACTCGAATACTGTTCCAAGCAGTGTTAAACCAACTGAATTACCTGAGGTTTAATAAGAGCCCTTTTTGGATCCATTTCATTGATGGAGAATATTTTTTAAACTGACATAGATTTGGACAAAGGCACCGGACCATGCTTAATTAACTCTGCTTGAAGTATATGGTAGAAATTCCTGCTTTTCCTCTCCATCTGCATGTTTCTGTTACCATGGTTACGTTAGTATATTTTTATTGTTTTGTTTCACTGAAACATTTGATCAGGTTATGTTTCACACTTGTTAATGTTTGATCTTGATTTCAGCACGGAAGACTTAAAGTGAAGACGACTGCTGAGCAGCAAGAAGCCAAGAGGAAAGAAAGGGAAAAGAAGCTGAAGATTTACAATGCAGCTGTCCAAAAAATATCTGCAAAGGTGAAGCATCGTTGATCAGATGACTATGTATACACACAGTTTTTTATATATGATTATACCATTAGAGTAAGTGAGTTGGGTTTAACAGCGCTTTAAAGTATTCCAGCTATATCACGGCCTGTCTCCTTAATGTGGGAGGAAAGCCCGAAGAAATGCAAGTCTCATACGTTTACCATTTTGGTGAGAGACCGCCTCCGTGGTCTAGTGGTAGAGCGTCCGCCTGGAGAGCGGAAGGTCCGGGTTCGATCCCCGACCACGTCATACCAAAAGACGTTAAAAGATGGTACTTGTTGTTACCCTGTCTGGCGCTCGGCATTAAGGGGCTAAAACAAGGACTGGTCTGCTCGGAGTCAGTATACTGTGTCTGAGTGGGGTATTCATGTTAAACTGCGGCATGGTATCTCAGTGAGCTAGCACTATAAATCGGCATCAGTCCGGACTAGTACAAGCAGCCACACAAACACACACACATACATGCACGTCGCTATATAAGTGCAATAATCTTGGACACGACGTTAAACCCCATTTCACCTCACCTCACCACTTTGGTGAGACCAGCATGGGTATGGTGCTGACAAACCTAGAAACATAATCGTGGCTGACTGGTATTCGAACCAACAATCATAGGTTTCTGACATGCCCCAGGGATCAATTCTCCACAGCGAATCATGGCGCCTTAGACAACTGGGCCACCCCTGCCCCCTTTGCCATAGGAAAAGTTAACAGGAACTTTAATACATATAGTGAAGAACATGTAATGAATGAACAGAATCCGCTACAAATGGTTTTATGGAACTTATTGCTTTCTTGACATCCCTTGCCCGTATTATTTGATGAAGTCAGAGCATCCTAATTATGCTAATGTTATTAATATCAGATCATAGAGACGCAAGTGTAATTGGCTGTGTTTGCGCATTGGGTCGTCGTCAGCATTGAATTATTTATGTCAAAGATTGACTTCAAAAGCATGTCGTTTTTTATTTTTCACCATTACTCGCATTTTTCTTTTTCTTTCATGACATAATTAAATAATTTCACATTTTGACACAAGGGTGTTCCACTTTTGTGTTGTAGCGCCAGCAGCAGGAATATGATGACGAGGCTCTACACATCACTGCTGAAATTCTGACTGCCAATTCTGATTTCTACTCTCTCTGGAACTACAGGAAAGAAATCTTCAAACATTTCAAGGCAGAGAAGTAAGAAAAGATTGTTTGTTCCAAATCACATTCTGACATGGAATACCCCATGTAGATACAGAGAGAGGGCCCGAGGCCTGGAATAGTTGTTGCAGTGTGTGACATGGTGTAAGCTCCGACCATATACAGATATATGTATATTGTCCCCACGTCAGAGGAAGAGGTACAGATATATGTATATTGTCCCCAGGTCAGAGGAAGAGGTACAGATATATGTTGATTGACCCCAGGTCAGAGGAAGAGGTACAGATATATGTTGATTGTCTCCAGGTCAGAGGAAGAGGCACAGATATATGTATATTGACCCCAGGTCAGAGGGAGAGGTACAGATATATGTGTATTGTCCCCAAGTCAGAGGAAGAGGTACAGATATATGTTGATTGTCCCCAGGTCAGAGGAAGAGGTACAGATATATGTTGATTGTCCCCAGGTCAGAGGAAGAGGCTCAGATATATGTTGATTGACTCCAGGTCAGAGGAAGAGGTACAGATATATGTTGATTGTCTCCAGGTCAGAGAAAGAGGTACAGATATATGTATATTGTCCCCACGTCAGAGGAAGAGGTACAGATATATGTATATTGTCCCCAGGTCAGAGGAAGAGGTACAGATATATGTTGATTGACCCCAGGTCAGAGGAAGAGGTACAGATATATGTGTATTGTCCCCAGTTCAGAGCAAGAAGTACAGATATATGTTGATTGACTCCAGGTCAGAGGAAGAGGTACAGATATATGTTGATTGTCTCCAGGTCAGAGAAAGAGGTACAGATATATGTATATTGTCCCCAGGTCAGAGGAAGAGGCACAGATATATGTATATTGACCCCAGGTCAGAGGGAGAGGTACAGATATATGTATATTGACCCCAGGTCAGAGAAAGAGGTACAGATATATGTGTATTGTCCCCAGGTCAGAGGAAGAGGTACAGATATATGTGTATTGTCCCCAGGTCAGAGGAATATGTACAGATATATGTTGATTGACCCCAGGTCAGAGGAAGAGGTACAGATATATGTTGATTGTCCCCACATCAGAGGAAGAGGTACAGATTTCTGTATATTGTCCCCAGGTCAGAGGAAGAGGTACAGATATATGTATATTGTCCCCAGGTCAGAGGAATATGTACAGATATATGTATATTGACCCCAGGTCAGAGGAAGAGGTACAGATATATGTTGATTGTCCCCACATCAGAGGAAGAGGTACAGATATATGTATATTGTCCCCAGGTCAGAGGAAGAGGTACAGATATATGTATATTGTCCCCAGGTCAGAGGCAGAGGTACAGATATATGTGTATTGTCCCCAGGTCAGAGGAAGAGGTACAGATATATGTATATTGTCTCCAGGTCAGAGGAAGAGGTACAGATATATGTTTATTGTTCCCAGGTCAGAGGAAGATGTACAGATATATGTTTATTGTCCCCAGGTCAGAGGCAGAGGTACAGATATATGTGTATTGTCCCCAGGTCAGAGGAAGATGTACAGATATATGTATATTGTCTCCAGGTCAGAGGAAGAGGTACAGATATATGTTTATTGTTCCCAGGTCAGAGGAAGAGGTACAGATATATGTATATTGGCCCTAGGTCAGAGGAAGATGTACAGATATATGTATATTGTCCCCAGGTCAGAGGAAGAGGTACAGATATATGTGTATTGTCCCCAGGTCAGAGGAAGATGTACAGATATATGTATATTGTCCCCAGGTCAGAGGAAGAGGTACAGATATATGTGTATTGTCCCCAGGTCAGAGGAAGATGTACAGATATATGTATATTGTCCCCAGGTCAGAGGAAGACATACAGATATATGTGTATTGTCCCCAGGTCAGAGGAAGATGTACAGATATATGTATATTGTCCCCAGGTCAGAGGAAGAGGTACAGATATATGTGTATTGTCCCCAGGTCAGAGGAAGATGTACAGATATATGTTGATTGACCCCAGGTCAGAGGAAGAGGTACAGATATATGTATATTGTCCCCACGTCAGAGGAAGAGGTACAGATTTCTGTATATTGTGCCCAGGTCAGAGGAAGAGGTACAGACACTGTTCCAGCAGGAGCTGTACTTCCTCGAGGCATGTCTGAAGGGTAACCCCAAGTCGTACGGCACATGGCATCACCGCTGCTTCGTCCTTGACAACATGCCGAAGCCGGACTGGGACCGGGAACTACAGTTGTGCAACCAGTTCCTTGAGTACGATGAGAGAAACTGTGAGTGCTCAACTACAACTGACAATTTTGTATTTTGTTTATTTACAAAGCAGTAAGTTGTTACCCATGAAAACCCATGTCTCCATGTTCTTCTGACTTCTGATCAATCAAAGACTACTTTAAAACTGACAAATTTACGTACTGAGGCAAGACTCGTAATGAAAAGTGTTCAATTGAGACAACATTAGTTCTTGTTTTTCACATGTACAGCGCTCAGTGTTGAAGTGAGGCAAAATGTGTCCATAAAAGGCATGTTCAAATGTCAAAGTTCAGCCTTTGACACATTTCAGCCATTGCACAGGAATATGTAATGTTGTTATGAATTCAAACACAAAACATTGAAAAAGGAAAAGGCTAGTTCTCAATCATATGAACACATCTGATGTGTGCCTGTCACACTTGTACATCATCCATGACTAGAATAGAAGCAAATTTAAACAATCAGACGTTTGGATGTTTGTTGTTTAATGCCGCACTTTGCAATATTCCTGCTATATGACGTCAGTCTGTAAATAATCGAGTCCAGACCAGTGACTGACATCATGAGCATTGTTCCAATGCAATTGGGATACAATGACATGCATCAACCAAGTCAGCGAGCGTGACCACCCGATCCCGTTAGTCACTTTTTATGACAAGCATAGTCACCTTTAAACAATCAGATGTAGGATGACATGTAACCATGGTAACTGACCTTCTCCACAGTTCACTGCTGGGACTACCGGAGATTTGTTGTGTCGAGGTCTAATGTATCACTGGAGTCGGAGTTTGAGTTCACCACAACCAAAATCAGCAGCAATTTCTCTAACTACTCCTCCTGGCATTACCGCAGCAAGTTACTTCCCGCCATCTTCCCTGACCCCAACCAGCCACGCCTGGTCCAGGAACACCAGATGCTGCAAGGTGAGAGAGTTGTGTGGAGTGAGTGAGTGAGTCATTGATGTCTGTCATGTTACAGACTCATCTCATTTGCCTGTAAGTAAAACATTATACCTATATACAACCATCTTCCCGAAGCAGTGAGTTAACTCACTGTAAAAGTCCAGTTTCCACCCTTGCCGAACTAGGTTGGAATTTTGGAGTTTTGGCTGGACTAACTAGTCTATGCATAGTCTAATCGAAATCGTGTAACGAAATTGACATTTGGTTCATAAACAACACGGAGACTGCTGTGCAGATTTTGGTCGATTGCAGGATTTGCAAAGCATGTGTTCCGTCAACTGGGTGTCAACAGATATTTTCCAAATCTTTACATGTTTAAAGGTGCTCAAGTGATTTGATGCACTGCACGAGGTAAGACCCATTTTAATACAATAAAAGTCTTGATTGTCGATCAGATCACTTTGTCTAGGCAGCACCATTTTGTTTGAAGTAAATGCAAGTGATATGAGTGGTGGAATCTGATTGGTCAATAGGAGGGACATAGGAGGGACATAAATTCCAGCCTTGTTCGGACTTATAAAGTCAGTTAATTCCCTTGCCTCGGGAAGATGGATACAACAGTCTTTAAGTAACCATGATAATTGAATCTGAACGAAACATACCAGTGGTTGACAGCATGAGTAATGCACTTGGGGTATGGTTGCACACAATCAGCTGTTCCGTAAATGGTGATGATGGTCTGTGGGGTGCAGGTGATGACAGGCGTTAACTCCACTCCACTCCCCTCCGCCACACACTCCTCCAATCTGCTCCACTCCACTCCGCTCCACTCCACTCCACTCCACTCCTCTCCACTCCACTCCACTCCACTCCACTCCACTCCACTCCACTCCACTCCACTCCACTCCACTCCACTCCACTCCACTCCACTCCACTCCACTCCACTCCACTCCACTCCACTCCACTCCATTCCGACCGCCTCCGTGGTCTAATGGTAGAGCGTCCGCCCGGAGAGCAGAAGGTCCGGGATTCGATCCCCAGCCGCGTCATACCAAAAGACGTTAAAAGATGGTACTTGTTGTTACCCTGTCTGGCGCTTGGCATTAAGGGGCTAAAACAAGGACGTCGGCTCGGAGTCAGTATACTGTGTCTGAGTGGGGTATTCATGTTAAACTTGGCATGGTATCTCAGTGTGCTAGCAGTATAAATCGGCATCAGTCTGGACTAGTACAAGCAGCCACACACACACATACACGTGCATATAAGTGCTATATAAGTGCAATAATCTTGGACGCGACGTTAAACCCAACACTCAACTCAACTCAACGCAACGCAACGCAACGCAACGCAACTCCGCTCCACAGAATACTAGTGATATGGGTTTATGAATTTAATAATGTCCCCAGCTGTTTGTCCTTTAGTATGATTGTGCTTCATGACAAGTCTTGTCAACTGTATATTCCATATAAACCATTTAACAAATGTTTTCCTCAGAACATGAAACAGTCCAGAATGCATTCTTCACCGACCCTGATGACCAGAGTGCATGGTTTTACCACAGGTGGCTGCTGGGAAGAGGTAAGGTCAAAGGCGGGGTTTTACGTAGTTTTACCTTGTGACTCACCACTTAGTTTTTTGGGTTAATTTTCTACTTTTGGTTGTCATGGTTTAAAATGAATCGAGACCCCACTGATTTTTGCTGTTTGCTGTCAAATACACTGTGACTGCGGTTAGGGCTAGACAGAATTACTTGCAGCTGATTGGTTGGTGTGTTATCATGCCATTTTCGCTTTTTGATCGCGATCTATAAATAGACAGTGGAAATTCCAAGTTTTGATTTTCTTGGCAAATGTTTTGCATCAGTTATGACCTTTTAAAAACCTTTTGTGAGTATTTCAAATATCTCAAGTTATCATATAATAGATTGATTTATAGATACAACAAACCTTGGTGTACGGATCCGATAAATACGCAAAAAAAGAACCCTATCAGGAACTGCTTTTTGTAAGCGCCATGCATCAATGCAATGTGTTCTTGCTGAATAAACTAATGTCTAACATAAATTTATGTGCTTGGACCCGTGAAGATCCGGGCTAGAATAGGTCTTCAGCAACCCATGCTTGCCATAAAAGGCGACCCATGATGATCCGGGGTAGAATAGGTCTTCAGCATGTTCAGCAACCCATGCTTGCGTGAAAGGCGACCCGTGAAGATCTGGGGTAGAATAGGTCTTCAGCAACACCTGCTTGCGAAAAAAGGCGACTATGCTTGTCGTAAGAGGCGACTGACAGGATCGGGTGGTTGGTTAATGCATGTCATCGTATCCCAATTGCGTAGATTGATGTTCATGATGTCAGTCACTGGATCGTCTGATCCAGACTTGATTATTTACAGATAGCCATCATATAGCTGGAATATTGCTGTGTGCGGTGTTAAACAACAAACAAGTAAACAACAAATTTATACATATTTATGATATGAAACCCTCAGCTAATAATCTCTATATCCTTATCAAAAGTTGAGTAGCTTGTTAGCCTGCGACTCTACAGGCTGTGTATGTTGTATACAGGAGAGACGGTGCAGCAGATATGTCAGATGTATGTGGCCAGGGATGCAGGACGGGTTGTCGTATCACTTGCCAAACATATACAGGTAAACATGTGTGTGTGAGTGAGTGAGTTACGTTAAGGCCGCATTGACAGTGTCTTAGACATGTAGCGACAAGAACAAACTACCCAGTCATAAAGTTCATGTATATGAAAACACAAGGTGGTTGGGTAGCTTAGTGGTTAAAGCATTCACTCTTCATGCCTAAGGTCTGGGTTTGATTCCCCACATGGGTGAAATGTGTCCATTTACAGTACCGTGATATTGCTGGAATACTACCAAACTCACAGCACCGTGATATTGCTGGAATACTACCAAACTCACAGCACCGTGATATTGCTGGAATACTACCAAACTCACAGTACAGTGATATTGCTGGAATACTACCAAACTCACAGTACCGTGATATTGCTGGAATACTACCAAACTCACAGTACCGTGATATTGCTGGAATACCACCAAACTCACAGTACCTTGATATTGCTGGAATACCACCAAACTCACAGTACCGTGATATTGCTGGAATACCACCAAACTCACAGTACCGTGATATTGCTGGAATACTACCAAACTCACAGTACCGTGATATTGCTGGAATACTACCAAACTCACAGTACCGTGATATTGCTGGAATACCACCAAACTCACACTACCTCCTTCTTCTTCACACCCTTCTGCTTCTTGTCCTTATTCTCCTCCTTGTCCTTCTCTGTGTCCTTTTCCTCCTTCTTCTTCTCACCCTTCTGCTTCTTGTCATTATTCTCCTCCTTCTTGTCCTTATTCTTCTCCTCCTCCTCATTCTTCTTCTCACCCTTCTGCTTCTTGTCCTTATTCTCCTTCTTGTCCTTTTCCGTGTCCTCCTCCTTCTCACCCTTCTGCTTCTTGTCCTTATTCTCCTTCTTGTCCTTATTCTCCTTCTTGTCCTTATTCTTCTTCTCCTTCTCCTCCTTCTTTTCACCCTTCTGCTTCTTGTCCTTATTCTACTCCTTCTCCTTATTGTCCTTATTCTTATTCTCCTCCTCCTCCTTCTTTTCACCCTTCTGCTTCTTGTCCTTATTCTTCTTCTCCTCCTCCTCCTTCTTTTCACCCTTCTGCTTCTTGTCCTTATTATTCTTCTCCTCCTCTCCTTCTTTTCACCCTTCTGCTTCTTGTCCTTATTCCTCTTCTCCTCCTTATTCTTCTCACCCTTCTGCTTCTTGTCCTTATTCTCTCCTCCTTCTTTTCCTCATCTTCATTCTTCTCCTTCTTCTCATCCTTCTTCTCCTTCTCGTCTTTCTGCTTCTTCTGTTTCTTCTTCTATTATTATTATTATCATCATCATCATTATTATTATTATTATTATTAATGTACATGTTTGTTTTGTCTTTAAGATTGGCGGTAAAGATAACCTCATTTTGGAGGTGAATGGGTCTCCAGTCGAGTGCACCTGGACTAACCAGCAGAGGAAAACTACATTCTCTACTCTCTGGATATCCTTCTAAGAATTCAGATATTTGTTTGAAACACAAAGAAACCAAACACTCACAATACACTCTCCTGAAACTAAACATTTTTAGCTCACCTGACTGAAAGTCAAGTGACCTGTCACAGTCTGTTTGCTCGACATTGGTTTGTCCGGCATCCAATGTGCGTCATTAACACTTTCTCCTCAGAAGCCACTGAACCAATGCAGCAATACTGACAAACTATTTGTTTGTTGTTTAACACCACACTCAGCAATATTCCAGCTATATGACGGAGGTCTGTACATACTCGAGTCTGGACCAGACAATCCAGTAATTGTCATCATGATCATCAATCCACGCAATTGGGATACGATGACATGCATCACCTTTTACGGCAAGCATGGGTTGCTGAAGACCTATTCTACCCTGGATCTTCACGGGTTTCTCCTTGTGATGACATATTTGTTTAAATGATTGTAGTGCTAAGAGGCTGTGGAAGTTATTAACTGTTGAAGGGCGGTCGGGTAGCCTAGTGGTTAAAGCGTTCGCTCGTCACGCCAAAGACCCAGGTTCGATTCCCAACATGGGTACAATGTGTGAAGCCCATTTCTGGTGTCCCCCGCCGTGATATTGCTGGACTATTGCTAAAAGCGGCGTAAAAGCATACTCACTCACTCACTCACTCACTCACTCACTCACTCACTCACTCACTCACTCACTCACTCACTCACTCACTCACTCACTCACTCACTCACTCACTCACTCACTCACTCACTCACTCACTAACTGTTGTCTAGACATCCAGGTGAGCTACAGTGCCATGGCATTATTTTCATGTAATTACAATCATGTGACACAGTAAATGTTACTTAGCATCTGTTGAGGCATTCATATTTTGCCATGACTCTGTTTGCAGTATATAATTACATTAGTAGCTTGCTCTGTCGACACAAGGTCAGTGGGGTAGCCCAGTGGTTTAAGCGTTTGCTCATAACACAGAAATCACCAGTTTATGGTATTCCCTGCCATGACATGGCTGAACCTTGCGAAGAACGGCATAAAACCAGGGGTGTTCAATAGTATGCCTGACTTTCCCAACCCATAAAAAAAAAGTTCCGGGCAGGTAGGACGATATGATTTAGTTGCCCTCAGACAGGTATAAAAAGATGATATTAACTTTGAAACTTAGAAGATGCATTGGTTTTCGTCAACTGCAGATGAAGTACCTAATGACAAGTCATTTTTCTTTTCTGCACATCTCCCATTTGCTGTTGTTTCAGTTAATGAAGTTTTGTTATTAAAAATAAAGTTTCCTTCTTTTCCCTTATTCATCAGGGCAAGCTGAAAATCAGGCTAGGCGAGTAGAATTTTTTAAGCTTATCAACACTCACTCACTCACTCACTCACTCACTCACTCACTCACTCACTCACTCACTCACTCACTCACTCACTCACTCACTCACTCACTCACTCACTCACTGTCTGTATTAAAGTGTGAGAGTTGAGATAGTTGTCACACAAAGATGGCTCTGTGGGAAAGAAATCACACTGATACTCTCAAGTTTTTGGTTAGAATGTTCAAACATACGTCAAGTTTGTGTACCTTAACTTTCATACATAGCTTCTGAACTTTCCATACCTGATGGAGAGGTCAAGGTGAAGGTCAGTGTGGAAGAATCTGATTTGTCAGCAGAAATTGTTCTTGAGGAAGGTCAGATGAGTCAAGGACAGAACTTCCAGTGTGTAGAAAGTAGTTTTAGGTGGGTATTGGTGCATTGTATACACTGCTTACTGTTTTTATATATCTTAAATGCTGAGTATGTTATCATGTTCTGACACTGTGCAATGGACCGTGGTTCGTTATCAGCCCCGGTCTAGATGCTGTAATTAGTCGCTGTGCAATATGGATAATCATTAACTGCAAGATTCATCCATCTTTAATTCTTAAGTTTGCAGACAAACAAATGGGTTTTGAGTGACTTGCAAACTCTCTAGGACACTGCTGATTGGTTCAAGCCTAGAGCTTTTGTTTTACATGAAAAATGCCCACCTACATGGGCTAGTGGTACAGCGTCCGCTCGGAGAGTGGAAAGTCTGGGGTTCGATCCCTGGCCGCGTCATACCAAAAGATGTTAAAAGATGGTATTTGTTGTTACCCTGCCTGGAGCTCAGCATTAAGGGGCTTAAACAAGGACTGGTCGGCTCGGAGTCAGTACACTGTGTCTGAGTGGGGTATTCATGTTAAACTGCAGCATGGTATGTCGGTGGGCTAGCACTATAAAACCGGCTTCAGTCTGGATTAGTACAGGTAGCCACCTACACATACACATACATGCACGTCACTATAGAAGTGCAATAATATTGGACGCAGTGTTAAACCCCATTTGACCTCACCTTAACATGAAATTTGTGGTATACGAGTATCTTCTGTGCTTTGAAGTTTTGAGATATGTTATAGTTCATCTGATACCTCTAAATAATGTTTTAAGGACTTGGTGTCTTCCAACACAGTGAGGGCGGTCGGGTAGCCGTGTGGTTAAAGCGTTCGCTCGTCACGCTGAAGACCCGGGTTCGATTCCCGACATGGGTACAATGTGTGAAGCCCATTTCTGGTGTCCCTCGCCGTGATATTACTGGAATATTGCTAAAAGCGGCATAAAACCATATTCACTGACTCACTCCAACACAGTGTTGCTGATATCTTGTTAAAGGTTAAGGAAAACGATGTTCGTTTTCTCATTATTTTGTCCCCAATGTTTTATTTAATCCTGTTTATACAAGTTCATGTTGTCAGATGTTTGCACCTTCCCCTGTTACAGCTCGGAGCTGAGTTCAGCTACAAGCGACGTGTTGAAGAGAGAGCTTGATGCTGTGAGGGAGCTGTACAGTCTGGAACCAGAGAATAAATGTAGGTGGGGGTGGGTGTGTGGGTGGGGGTTGGGGTCGGGGGTAACCAAGTTGTTGAAACTTTGACATGCTGAAGGCATGGGTTCCATTCCTGGAATATTGCTAAAAACCGTTTAAGAACCATACTCCCTCACTCATTGAATCGTGAAGATCAGGGGTAGAATAGGTCTTCAGCAACCCATGCTTGTCAGAAAAGGTAACTATGCTTGTCGTAAGAGGCGACGAACAGGATCGGTTGGTCAGGCTCACATGGTTGATGCATGTCACTGTATCCCAATGACTGGATCGATGCTTATGATGTCAGTCAGTAGATTGTCTGGTCCAGACTCAACTATTTACAGACCGCCATCATATAGCTAGAATATTGTTGAGTGCCGTGTTCGACAACAAACAAACATGAATCACATGAAACTCTGGGCTAACATTAGGATGGATCCTGTTTGTTTTCACTGCTCCCTGGCCCATGCATGTGTACACACACTGAAAGAGCCATAGGATTGTGGGGGAGCTGACTTGTGAAAGGGATTGCACATGAATCCGAAGACATTCGATCCCCTACCTATTTATATTTATATTGTTGGTGACAGAAACCTCAGCTGATCAGGGGCGGTCGGGTAGCCTACTGGTTAAATCGTTCGCTCGTCACGCCAAAGACCCGGGTTTGATTCCCGACATGGGTACAATGTGTGAAGCCCATTTCTGGTGTCCCCCGCCGTGATATTGCTGGAATATTGCTAAAAACGGCGTAAAACCATACTCACTCACTCACTATATTGTTGGTGACAGAAACCTCAGCTGATCAGGCATGTTGTGACCATGCACACTGATAGGTAACAAACTGCATGTGTTTGGCAGGGGTGCTCCTCACCATCGTTCTTCTGATGAAGTCTCTGTGCCCCATCCTGTACAAGGACGAGATCCTGGAGCATCTACAGCAACTACAGCACCTCGACAACAAGCGACAGAACTACTACCTCGACCTCAGTAAGTGGCAGTATATTAATGTTGTTATTGTCCTCTTTTATCCCAATAGGGTTCCTGGGTTAGAATTAATTCCCAGAAATTTATGTTGGACGTAAGGCGATTATATGATCACGTGGTCTGTCTCACTGGCTGTGCTGATAGTGTGTCAGCATGCCCTGGAAGTGGATGGTTGCTCATGATATTAATCACTGGTTTGTCTCGTCCAATTATCAACTCAATTATTTACAGGCTGCTGGAATGTTGCAGAGTGCAGCATTAAACAACAAACAAACAAAATCCTTTTGTCTTTCAAGTCTGAACAAATCCATATTCGGAGGACACCATGACGTAATCCATATCCTCTTTTTGCAGGGAGTAAGATGCTGATCGAGATTGCCATAGAGACTATTAAAGGCAAGCTTGATGATGTTTTGGACTTGTCCAACCAAGGCCTAACGACACTGGTACATCTAGAGTTACTTCCCCTTGTTCGGGAGGTGAAGCTTTCTGACAACACCCTCGACAGTTTTCACAACTTCCAGTACTTCCAGTGCCTGGAGAAGTTGAACATCAGCGGTAACCGGGTAACATCATGTGACGGGCTCAACTTCCTGCCAGAGTTGACTGAACTTGACCTTCAGAATAACTGTATCCTTTCATGTGACGGGTGCACTGCACAGACGTACATCTTACTGTGTGAACAATTAATCTGTCTCCATCTTCTAATAGATATTTCTTAATGCTCCTTTCAGCTGAGGGGCGGTCGGGTAGCCTAGTGGTTAAAGCGTTCGCTCGTCACGCTGAAGACCCGGGTTCGATTCCCGACATGGGTACAATGTGGAAGCCCATTTTTTGGTGTCCCCCGCCGTGATATTGCTGGAATATTGCTAAAAGCGGCGTAAAACCATACTCACTCACTCACTCTTTTCAGCTGAAACAAAATCTGAGCCTTGACACTTTGACTGTCAAAGGTCAATGTCAAAGTAGGCCAGACCTTTCTTTTTCATGGATTATGGGTCTGCCAAACTAATTTTCCTGATTTTAAGTTATTAGTTTATAAAATACAACACTAAAATTTTGATTGATTTTTCTTGGGAACCTATTCTTCCATGATTATCACTTGCCATCAGCAGAAGTGTAAATAAACTAAATTGGACGACCTCTGTGTCTCTGCCAATCAAATCAATTATTACTTATCTTGTACAGTTTCGCACAATGTCGACAAAGTATTTTGCACAATGTCGACAAAGTATTTTAGTGTAACGATCTCAAAGAAAAACAGCTGTCTACTTACACGGTTGGTGATTTGTCAACAAATGTCAAGGCCGCACACTCTGCCTGGTATCCCGATTCCGATTGATCAATGTACACAAGACATATTTATTCGTCTATAATACGCACTCGTGTGTTATATGCACCCTTAATTATGGGCAATTAAATTCTGGAAAAATATATCTGTCGTACATAAACATTTCAGGCTGTCAGCATAAACCACAAAACTTACGAGGGGCGGTCGGGTAGCCTAGTGGTTAAAGCGTTCACTCGTCACGCCGAAGACCCGAGTTCGATTCCCGACATGGGTACAATGTGTGAAGCCCATTTCTGGTGTCCCCCGCCATGATATTGCTGGAATATTGGTAAAAGCGTCGTAAAACCAAACTCGCTCACAAAACTTACGATCTTTCAACTCTGTTTTCACGAAATAATATTCTAATAAGAGCCCCCTATTTCTTATTTTGAGAGTTCCCTGGGCGCTTATTATGTCAAATACGGTATATATATATACACCTATATGATTACGTCGAAAACGGTAACTAATTTTCAAGGAATGTTTCAGCATTTTTGACATATTGCCTCCTTAACTGACGCAGGTATTGCCTCCAAGGAGGGTCTGGAGGCACTGCTGACATGCCCCAAGCTGCAGGTTATACACATCTCAGGGAACCCAGTCTCTCATGACGACGGCGCCATGGATGGCATCAGGGCCATGTTTCCCTCGGCAACACTCCACTCATGAAACAGTGCCACAGAGAAACATGGACATTTACATTTCACCAGCTTGGCTGATATTTATCCGGCTTCAACAGATTCGTTTGTGCTTGGATGTTGTGAGAAGATGTGATGAAAGATAAGACAGTACGGTACCAGAGTGTGTTGTGCTCGCGGACGCTGATTGGAATTACATAGGATAAAATGATACTTTATAGCTCCGAAGGGAATTGTTGTTACATCAGAGAATCCCAGATTACCAATATTTCACAAGGATATTAAAATGGAAACAGAATACACACATCTGTGCAGACACAGAAGTAACAACAAACTGATCAAATATAAGAGAGTATTGTAGGAGTTAACACTTGTGTTAGGCTGACTGGAATATAACTGCTGTCTTTTAAGCAAGATGGTATTAAGACTTACCCACTCTATTTTGTCCATTATATTACATCTTCACTTCTTAACACTGTGATGCCTTTCTGTCCCTTATCCTTACCAACTCATGTGGGGGTGGGGGTGGGGGGGTCATGAAAAAATGACACAGTGAAAGTTGAAAATATGCGACCTTAGACATGTTAGATACAGGGCCAGGGTCATGAAAAAAATGACGCGAAAGTTGAAAATATGCGACCTAAGATTAAGGGGTGGGGTCATGAAAAAATGACGCAAAAGTTGAAAATATGGGACCTAAGATTAAGGGGCGGGGTCATGAAAAAATGACGCAGCGAAAGTTGAAAATATATTATCAAGATTAAGGGGCAGGGTCATGAAAAAATGATGCAAAAGTTGAAAATATGTTACCTAGATTAAAGGGGAGGGTCATGAAAAAATGGCGCAGTGAAAGTTGAACATATGTTACTTAAGATTAAGGGGCGGGGTCATGAAAAAATGACGCAGTGAAAGTTGAAAATATGTTACCTTAGATTAAGGGGCGGGGGTCATGAAAAAATGTCGCAGTGAAAGTTGAAAATGTTTAACCAAAGATTAAGGGGTGGGGTCATGAAAAATGTATTCAGTAGAAGTAACATGAATACCACACTCAGACACTCTGAGGCGACCGGTCTTTGTTTTGGCCCCTTAATGTCAAGCGCCAGGCAGGTTAACAGCACTTACCATCTTACAGTCTTTTTGAATGACACAGCTGGGGATGGAACCCCGAACATTCGGCTTTCTGGGCACACATTCTACCACTAGACCATGGTGGTGGTTGATCACGGTTAATAAACACCTCTGTGTAATGAATGATTGAGAATTTCACGTTAATTTCAATCACATGTTCCAAACATCGTTTTCAATATTTATTACCATCATGTTTAGGAAATGTGTGAGGTCACCTTTGGGGATTTCAGGTGGGGATGTAGGTCCCTAGCAACCTATGTATGTTGTAAAGGATCAGGTGGTCAGGCTCAGTGACTTGGTTGATGTCATTATGTCCCAATTGTGAGGATCGAAGCTCTTGATGTCAGACACTGGATTGTCTGGTCCAGACTTTACTTACAGACCACCGTCTGATGACTGCTCAGGGTAGCATTAAACAACAAACAAATAAAAAACATGAGTGTAGAGCATATAAAGTGGATGATAGATATGGATGTTCGCAAACAGAAAAATCGAGAAAAATAAATATAGCAGAGAATTATGTTGTTGCTGTTTGTTGCAAGAGAGAGTGTCATTTCCATTCAACTGGGCATTATTATCATGATTATCTGTGACTGCATGTCAGTTTAGAAAGCTATGTATCATTAGGCTTTATATACTACTCAAAAGAAGTTAAAGAACATTTCATATTACTATAGTTCACCTATCATGGCATGACAAATTAACTATAGTAATATGAAAGAAACAGGTTTTCCTTAACTTCTTTTGAGTAGTATATATCTTTTTAGTTGGTTTACAAGCTGACAACCCCCCCCAAAAAACTTAGATTAGAAAAAAAGAAGATTTGGGGCAATTTTCTTGATGTTGATTGTTTCTTTTCACCTACCCCGTAATTGTAAAAAATAATCCACAAAATTTTATCACCGCTATTTATTAGGAATGGGGAATGATGTGAATAAAAATCTCTATTCTGAAAGCAAATTGGTTACCTTTCTGTATCGTTTCGTAATCGTACTTCTGTGCGGTGTGACCGACAAGTTTATTTTTAATTCATTAGGAGCAATCTCATTAAAATCAGATCTTTGGTCTCACTACTGCTAAACAAGGATCTGAGGACATCCCATTACGGTCACGTCAGACCTTTTGCGAAATTAAACCTAACAATGAAATGACTGACAAGAAGTCCAGATTAGGCATCTTCTTGTGCTTTACGGAGCTAGCTTCGAAACATTATTGACAAATTCTTGATTAAAAATTTGAAAAGAACATTCTGGAATGGCTAATAGATGGCCTTGAACATTTCGTGTTTGCACGATTAGAAAACACATTCTGTCTGTCTTTTACCTGATCTGGTAAGCGATGCACTGATTGGTCGGATGAAAGGTCGTTCTGACATGACCTGAAATGGGATGTCCTCAGATCTTTGTTTGGCTGTAGCGAGAACTAAGATCTGATTTTAATGAGATTGGGTGTCCGTACATTCCACTGTTTCAAGTAGGGAAAGTGTTTTGTGTGAAGCATATGTGCTGAAAGTCTGAATGTGAAATAAAATATATCACAAAGAAAAATGACTGTGTCTTTCCTTGATAATAAGATAAAGTGAAATGGGGTTTAACGTCTCTTATATAGTGACATGCTGCACGTATGTGTATGTGGCTGCTTGGACTAGTCCAGGGCCCACTCGCACAAAGAGATCTTATCTCTACGGTGATCATAACACCCACACTATAACATAGGCATACGATAGTCTTAGCGCTAAGATCGCTTTGTGCAGGTGGGCCCTGGTTTACGTCGATTTTGAAGTACTAGCCCACTGAGATTAAGTTGAACATACTGACTCCAAGCCGAATAGTCCTTGTTCTATCCCCTTAATGCTGAGGGCTAGGCAGGGCAACAACAAGTACCATCTTTTGACATGGTTTGCCATGACGCAGCTGGGGAATGGAACCACAGACTTTCCCCTCTCTGAGCAGACACTGTCCACTTTTCCACAGAGGCAGTTCAGGCAAACAACAGATGGCAGCAAACTTAATAACAGTGAATTGCTGTGAAGATCCAAGGTAGAATAGGTCTTCAGCAACCAATGCTTGCCGTTTAATGCGACTGATGGGATCGGGTGGTCAGGCTCCTTTTAAAAACCTTTTGTGAGTATTTCAAATATCTCAATTTATCATATAATGGATTGATTTATAGATACAACAAACCTTGGTGTACCGATCCGATAAATACTCAAAAAGGAACCCTATCAGGAACTGCTTTTAGTAAACGCCACGCATCAATGCAATGTGTTCTTGCTGAATAAACTAATGTCTAACATTAGTTATGTGCTTGGACCCTTGAAGATCCAGGCCAGAATAGGTCTTCAGCAACCCATGCTTGCCAAAACAGGCGACTAAGCTTGTCGCAAGAGGCAACTAACGGGATCGGGTGGTCAGGCTCGCTGACTTGGTTGATGCATGTCATCGATCCCAATTACGTGGATCGAGGCTCATGATGTCAATCACTGGATTGTCTGGCCCAGACTCGATTATGTACAGATCGCCGTCATATAGCTGGAATATTGCTGAGTGGGGCGTTAAGCAACAAACGAACGAACAAACAAATATAAAAATAAGACTAACACGTCAAATATTTCAGCATTTTTAATAATGAAACAAATATATATAGCAAGTGAAAATATATGAAAACAATTCTACAGTAAAAGGTTGGGTTTCTGGTAACCGTAGCAACAATGTATTGCTGATTCATTGAATATTCACCCTTAGATCGGTAGTGTTAAAAATCAGAGAATTCCTCTTAAAATCATCAGAAAGTGGACGTCTAGTTAGAGGACAGTCCATGAGTAGGCTCCTCAACAACACTGGTGGAGCCTCATTATTGACAACTAGGACCAGTCACTTCTTTCTGGGGGCTGTGGCTGGCGATGAAGCTTATAAAACATGACCTGTCTGAGGGTGGTGTTGATGGTTGGAAAAGCAGGGACACAAGTGAGTGGCATTAGTCCTTTCAGGTGCTGACACCTTGGAGCAAAATCAGCACAAATCTGGGATTCTCACCATGATCCTGTTCCTGGCATGACTAAGGGAGGCAACTCTTCACAGCAAATTCGTGCCTTAGACTACTTGGCCACCCATGTCCCCTAACCACACAGATAGGACCAGCATTTGAGGGATGATTGCACAAGGACATATGGAGGAAAGGTCTGTCTTGTTACCATTGACAGATGACCGAACCTTGAAGTGACATGTTCTACTGATAATATTCCCATGCAGCTGATTACCAAGTTGCCTAACTAGTGGTAGTACTAGCCGTACTAGTACTACAAGCATTACTGCCTTATGAGTGCTAAATGCAAGTCTTACTGGTGCTTGTACTAGCCTTATTAGTGCTAAATACAAGCCTCAGTTGTGCTAAATACTAACCTCACTAATGCTAGTACTAGCCTCAGTTGTGCTAAATACTAACTTCACAAGTGCTAGAAATAGCCTTATTAGGGCTAAATACAAGGCTAACTAGTGCCCGTACTAGCCTCAGTTGTGCTAAATACTAACCTCACAAGTGCTAGTACTAGCCTCAGCTGTGCTAAATACTAACCTCACAAGTGCTAGTACTAGCCTCAGCTGTGCTAAATACAGGCCTCACTAGTGCTAAATACAAGCCTCACAAGTGCTAAATACAAGCCTAACTCATGGGAATCCAGTTACTCCGCACCAGACTTGGGACAACAGTGAGAATGCCAATGTTTGACTACACAAGGTGGATCACTGTCTCTGTGATCAAACAAGCAGCCTGTGCTCTTCACAAACTGACACATCTTGTATAAAAATAATTCGCAACTTAGCACAGGAAGCAACATGGCAATAAATCTGTACAAAACTCTGATGGGATGTCTATGCCACATATCTTGGTAGAGTATGGGTACATGCTACACCTCAACATTCCAACTTGTAAATTACCCATTTCTTTAGGTATTTATCAAAAGATATATCTGCAGAAAGTATGGCATGATGGAACTAGGGGCATATCTGTAACCCTATTCAAGACAAACAAACATTTTTACCTAAGCCTGATCAATTCACTTTCTTTTTTCATGGTTGGTTGGTTGGTTTGTTGTTTTACGCCGCACTCAGCAATATTCCAGCTATATGACGGCGGTCTGTAAATAATCGAGTCTGGACCAGACAATCCAGTGATTGATATCATGAGCATCGATCCACATCCACGCAATTGGGATCGATGATATGCATCTCGCAAGTCAGCAAGCCTGACCACGTTAGGCGCCTTTTACGACAAGCATTGTCACCTTTTACTGCAAGCTTGGGTTGCTGAAGACCTATTCTTTTTTCATGGATAGTTAGGTAATCACACATATATATATATATATATATATATATATATATATATATATATATATATATATATTACACACACACACACATACATAGGTATATATATATACATACATAGGTATATATATATATACATACATAGGTATATATATATACATATATAGAGGTATATATATATATACATATAGAGGTATATATATACATACATATAGAGGTATATATATACATACATATAGAGGTATATATATAGAGGTATATATTACATAATATAACCCATAATACATATATATACATAGGTATATATATACATACATAGGTATATATATATACATATATAGGTATATATATATATACATTTAGAGGTATATATATAGAGGTGTATATTACATAATATAACCCATAATACATATAAACATATATATATATAGGTATATATTACATAATATAACCCATAATATAACCCACACAAAAAAGATTTCTAAGAAAACATCAACACTTATTCCTTAAACCTCTTGTCCTTTAGACTTGTCCATCAAACAAGAAAGTCAATTGGTCTGGCATTTTGAAAAGAAAAGACCCATTAACATTGATTTTGATTAAATTACAATAGATGACAAAAGGCTTGCCTATAATGGAACGAAGATGTTAAATGAATCACAAGTCATGATTCAGGTCAGATAACCACAAGTGAGAAAATAAGGCTACAATTAATTATTTCTTATTCAAAATACACACATGTATTGATCTTAGATCCGCTTCCTTTCGGTTGGGATTATTAAATTGTAATATAGGTATAATTCATTTTAGTCTATCAATAATTACAAGATGAGTTATGCTGGAAAAAACATCCCAACTGTAATACCAGGTGTGACAAAGTACCTTAGACTCGATAAGTGTGTGATAAGTTATGACGCCCCTCTTAGCAATGTTTACCAACATCACAGTGAGAAACACTGCTTCACACAGTAAGACACATGTCAGAGAATCTAACAAAGGCCTTTGGTGCAGAGCGCTAACGTCTTAACCACAAAGCAAGCCCATCACCTCTACGAATTGTTCATGTCACCATTTGGCAAAGAGGCTCCAGCTTTGGCAAAAGAGGGTGTTGCAAGTTGAAGAAACTCACACAAGTGGCCGGTTGAAGAAAATAAAACATAAAATAGTTTGTCCCAAGTTTGTGACAAAATTAACTGAGCTATGCTCCTCAAGCAGCAGGACAAAGCAGTCTACACAAATTCAAAGCATTTACCGGTATGACATCAAAAATCACATATAACAAGCGAAATAAAAGGGATGTCAAAATAAAATTGGATGGATGCATCACCAAAATCAAAACCCAAAATGGGACAGGGAAACGGTTCACACTGAAAGCACACAGTATTGACTAGAGACGGACTTAATGCTCCATGCCCTGTATCATAATAAACCCCACCTCAGTGAGTGAGTGAGTGAGTGAGTGAGTGAGTGAGTTGGGTTTAACGCCGCTTTTAACAGTATTCCAGTTATATCACGGTGTGTCAGCTTAATGTGGGAGGAAAGCCCCAAGTGATGCAGGTCTCGGACGTTTACCACTTCGGTGAAACACACAAGCACGGGTATGGTGCTGACAAACCTAGAAACATAATCGGGGCGAACTGGGATTCAAACCCACAATCATAGGTTTCTGGCGTGCCCAAGGGACGCAACTCTGCACAGCGAATCGTGGAGCCTTAGACGACTGGGCCACCCGTGCCCCCCGCCCCCCGCACTCAGTGAGAATCTCATGCAGTTCTGACACTAACCAATGGGCACCAGGGCAGAAAGGAGACACCAAATGATGGGTTTTGTTTGTTGTTTAACGCCGCACTCTGCAATATTCCAGCTATATGACGGCGGTCTGTACATAATCGAGTCTGGACCAGACAATCCAGTGATTGGCATCATGAGCATCGATCCACACAATTGGGATACGATGACATGCATCAACCAAGTCAGCGAGCCTGACCACCCGATCCCGTTAGTCGCCTCTTACAACAAGCAAAGCATCTTTTACGGTAAGCATGGGTTGGTGAAGACCTATTCTACCCCGGATCGTCAGGGGTGGCATGTGCTATAAGCTGAGTGAGATTAAAACTGAGGCCGGAATATATCTCTGTAGAAAAAAGCTCAATACTTCCCAAGCCATGTACATACCACTCGAAAGAAGTCAAAGAACTGCCTTATCTGTTATAGTTATGTCTTACAGGAATATGAAAGACTTGAGTGACTTTAACTTCTTTTGAGTAGTATATAATGCAGCATCTACCTATGACTGGCTCTAACACTGAAAAATGCAGTGATACCCACCCCAAATTGTGTCAATTCAGCCTAACTTGGATAATTGGGGGGACAATTAAGTAATCATTAATATCGTTATCAAATGTATGGTCTTGACGAAAAGAAATCATATTTTCCATTACATTTTATCACAATAACCACTCGGAAACGTGTCAAACTTCCAATCACAACCTGAACTATTGACAGCTGATTGCTTGTGCATGTGATGATGCTTGTGACAAGGACAATAACCAGACGAAAATACTCACAATATTTTGTTTCACAATATTCGTATCACATTTCTCTTTATTGTTAATGGTACTGGGAGAATTTGGTTCATAATATTGTAATGAATTCCAAAACAGTAATAGTTGCCATATCTGCACATGTAATCTGTAATAACAGAAATACAAAAGTCTGATTTTCATATCTTAGTTCTGTGGATAATAAAATAAATATTTTAAGTTTTCAATCAAATATGTCAATTTTTAAACACAATTTTAACATGTTAAAGCTCTGACGTCCAAATAAATGACTCTTTCTGATGACTCTGCAGCTAATGTAATTCAACCATTCATGAACATTGTGTAAATATACAATCTCAGAACAACGCAAACAGTGCCCAAACAGACATATCAGGACAAAAAGCCTTAACTATTGCACACACAAGACTAAAGCCAAGGTTGAAAATAAGTGAAAACTGCAAAACAAAAATAAATAAAAACAATCAAAAGAAGGATTCCAAGTAGATTTAGTTTGAGGTTTGTTATTAACAAAGGGAACCGAAAGCTGGTTGAAGATAAGTCTTCTACTACAGTGAGTGAGTATGGTTTTACGCCGCTTCAAGCAACGTTCAAGCATTATCATGTTATACTGGGTATACGAGAAAATTACAGCCGTCCTCATTGTTTGCGAAAGATGTCGAAATGATAAAATGAAGACAATATTACATACACTGATTTGAAGAAGAAAATCCAATAGTAGAAATGTTTTCAAGATAAAACACAAAAGGAAATTACCGCTATGATAATTCAATGATTATCCATACATCCCTTTCGGTTTAATATTGTTTATGACAAGATTAAATAACCTTTTCCAAAGGAAACCATGAACTTTATAACACCTTTGGAATAATACTGTTTTCAAACAATCAACAAATATTTGTCCTAAAACATAAACCTTTCCTGAATTAACACAATGACTAAAAGATATAAAATCTTCAGGAAATAAGAATAACATTATAATACTGATACAGATTTAGTTAAAATATATAAAATTCATTTTGCAAACTTATCCACTTTCAACAATCAAAGTGTTCACATTTGAACTTCCATGTATAAAAAAATAGCAACTTAGTCATATTAAGTAATAGTTTTCAGCATGTTCAGAGAAATACAAAAATGTGACATCAAGTCCAATATTTTAATAGAACCTATAGCTCAGCTATATATTTTCAATTGCAAGGTTGAGATCTAAATTGTACTATCTTGTAACTACCTTGCAAGAGTTTCTTGATAACAGCTAAGCAAGGTATTTTCTGTACCCTTGGCAATGCTGGACTCAAGCAGGGACCACAGGTATTATCACACAGCTCTGTAGCCCATAGCTTTCAGTTATTTCAGTGCTGTAAAAATAATTTTCATTAATTTATTTCTGCATCTAAATGAATGAAACTTAACATGGAAATGGATCAACTCTACAAGTCTAGGTGCATAATTTCAATTATTGTTCCGACTAAGACAGACTTTAACATTTTAACAAATTCAACTCCTAGTAATCCCATCAATAACCTCCTCCTTGACAATATAACAGCATACATTGATGTACATCTACCATGCGTAAACTGTTATAATCAAACCAAGTGTCACTTCTACACACTGATATTACACACTGGTAGCTGCTTTCATGTATCAGATATGACTTAAACTATGATGATCCAAAAATGAAATTATTTTTGCTGAATTGAAACATCATAGAAGGTAATAGGGTTTTGCAGACCAGAGATAAACTTGGGTCCATACAAATAATTTATTATACATGCAATATATGTACATAATATTCACCGAATTTGGGACGACGGTATTTATATACAATTTCATCCAGTCATGATCATACTGCACGTGGAATTCAAGATACAAGAAATAACCAAGCAGCATCTAGATGCATAATCCCATCAGCATGTAATATGTACAGGTGTATATCTACATGAGTTATAAATATTCAAATTGTGAAAGTGGCAAATATCTTGTGAATATCAAATCAATTCGTTTTATACACAACAAAATTAATTCAAAAAGGCACGTGTATAAGATGGTAGTCCACACTGTGTGGGGAGAATAGCACTTCAGGAAACAGGGTGTGAAAACCCAGGAATATCACCAGTGTCTTGTGAAGAAATAACCAGGAAGTCTTGTATTATTCCGCATGTTGGTGTGATATCACACAGCAGTTATTCATCAGTGAGGCTGTGCAGGTCACACACATTATATGTGACGTAGTGATTAAATAAGATATCTTTTTTACATGACAATATTGGGTGGACATATTTAATTTCAAATTGGTGACTTGAGAACTTAGGTGGATGATTTTCATTTCATGTTCAAGATCCAGGGTAGTGAAATATTGAGAAGCACCATCTATGCAGAATCCAATAGTTTCGTTCACATTTTGGCGATGGTGAGACGTAGCACAAGGGAGGTAACTCCAGCTATGTATGTTCCTCAGCTGCGGTGTGCACCATGACTGGGACGACGTGAGATGATTTTAGCCGTTTTCCTGCAGGCGGATGATCCTTGTCTGGAATCGGTGTTGAGGTGTCCCGGTTCCCATCCTCGAGTCTGCAAGACAACCGATGTCGGAGGTCAATGAAATATTTAAGAATTGAGTGAGTGAGTGAGTATGGTTTTACGCCGCTTTTTAGCAATATTCCAGCAATATCACGCCGGGGTACACCAGAAATGGGCTTCACACAATGTTCCCATGTCGGGAATTGAACCCGGGTCTTCGGCGTGACGAGCGAATGCTTTAACCACTAGGCTACCCGACCGCCTCATTTAAGAATTGAAATGTTAAACGGAAACTGGGGAGCGAGGGGTCAAAATAACGGACATTCTTGTGCATTTATGTTTCAGTTTCTAAGATAATGTGTACAGCTGTGGAAATGAGAAAGGGAGTGAACTGGGTTTTACTTTTAACAGTATTCTAGTTATAACATGGCATGTCAGCCTCATGTGGGAGGAAAGCGCGAAGTGATCCAAGTATCTGATGTTTATCGCTTTGGTGAAACCCATGAACATGGATATGGTGCTGACAAACCTAGAAAAATAATTGGAGCGAACCAGGATTTGAGCCAACGATCATCGCTTTCTGGCATGCCTAAGGGACACAACTCTGCACAGAGAATTGCAGCGATTGGGCCAACCATGCCCCGCAGTGTAAGTAGGGTAGACTTATACATATGAATGGTGTCTAACAATAACTGCTAATTGTCCAATGCCTAGTACTGATTCCACAATAATACAAGGCCGCAAGTCCAGGAGGCATTTACTCAACTGCTGGTCCTTGACCAACAAAAGGGGATACAGTAAAAGTTTTATCAATATTCATAAATTATACGCATAAGGCTAAAAATACCAGACACAGCAAAGGAACACATGCATAAAAATGAATCACCAAAATCGCAAATCAAAATTGAAAATCAGTTCAGAATAATTTGGGCAAGCTTACGAGACTTCATTTGCTAGATCCTCCATGCAGCGTAAACAAACTTACTGAGTTTGAACAAAGAATTTTAGATGACCAACATCGCCGTAACTTCATAATTTCGAAAATTATCAAACTGCCTAAATCTTACATTCTAGATGTATTAATACCATAATGAGGGTAGATGACCATACCTGCTGTCACTGGACGTCAAGGGATGTGACTGGTCAGCTTCTGGCTCCAGGCTGACCTCCATGTCACACTCCGCCACCGAGAACTCGTTTGATATTGGCGACATCAGAGACGATGTATCTCTCCCACCGGACACCTCCCTGTAAAACAAAACTGACCTCAATTTGACCTGTAGACTAACATATGAACATTTTTGTGTGTGCTTTTGAACATAAATGGAGTAATATTATGACTTTCCATAGAAAAGGGAGTAAACGGACTACAAAAGTCCAGAGGAGGGACAGAAGGGACATAACTTGTAAAAGACACTGGTGGCGCTATGATCGAACCACGAAATTCAGGCCTAGTTCGGCAAGGGTGGAAACTTTTACAGTCAGTTAAATCCCTTGCCTAGGGAAGCTGGTAGGGCTTTATTGCAGATATTGGCAGCAAGGCACTGTAGCGCACCAAGATATTTCAAAGTAACATATCCATGTTGGGAGTGGATCTTGCACACTAAACATAGGCAGAGTAAGCAGCAAGCAGACTGCATGTCGTTGTGTACTTGTAGCTGAAGCAGATTGTATCTTGATAAAACCACCAAGTTTTTGGCTGTAGTGGGCTGTTAGTCATACCAGCATCTCATGGTTGCAGCAAGCTGTTTGTTATATTTTCTTCATACCATCATGTCTCTCAGTTGCAGAAAGATGTATATTTTCTTTATACCCAATCTCTCAGATGCAGAAAGCTGTATAATTTTCTACATACCATCAGGTCTCTCAGCTACAGAAAGCTGTATATTTTCTTTATATGCACATGTCTCTCAGCTGCAGAAAGCTGTATATTTTCTTCATATGCCCATGTCTCTCAGCTGCAGAAAGCCGTATTTTTTCTTTATACCATCATGTCTCTCAGCTGCAGAAAGCTGTATATTTTCTTTATATGCACATGTCTCTCAGCTGCAGAAAACTGTATATTTTCTTTATATGCACATGTCTCTCAGCTGCAGAAAGCCGTATTTTTTCTTTATACCATCATGTCTCTCAGCTGCAGAAAGCTGTATATTTTCTTTATACCATCATGTCTCTCAGCTGCAGAAATCTGTATATTTTCTTTATATGCCCATGTCTCTCAGCTGCAGAAAGCCGTATTTTTTCTTTATACCATCATGTCTCTCAGCTGCAGAAAGCTGTATATTTTCTTTATATGCACATGTCTCTCAGCTGCAGAATGCTGTATATTTTCTTTATACAATCACGTCTCTCAGCTGCAGAAAGCTGTATATTTTCTTTATACCCCATCTCTCAGCTGCAGAAAGCTGTATATTTTCTTTATACCCCATCTCTCAGCTGCAGATAGGTTGTATATTTTCTTTATATGCACATCTCTTAGCTACAGAAAGCTGTATATTTTCTTTATATGAATATGTCTCTCAGCTGCGAGATCTGTAAATTTTCTTTATATGCACGTCTCTTAGCTGCGGAAGCTGCATATTTTCTTTATACCATCATGTCTCTCAGCTGCAGAAAGCTGTATATTTTCTTTATATGAATATGTCTCTCAGCTGCAGAAGCTGTATATTTTCTTTATACCATCATGTCTCTCAGCTGCTGAAAGCTGTATTTTTTCTTTACACCATGTCTCTCAGCTACAGAAAGCTGTATATTTTCTTTAGATGCACATGTCTCTCAGCTGCAGAAGCTGTATATTTTCTTTATACAATCATGTCTCTCAGCTGCAGAAAGCTGTATATTTTCTTTATACCCCATCTCTCAGCTGCAGAAAGCTGTATATTTTCTTTAGATGCACATGTCTCTCAGCTACAGAAAGCTGTATATTTTCTTTAGATGCACATGTCTCTCAGCTGCAGAAAGCTGTATATTTTCTTTAAGCCCCATCTCTCAGCTGTAGAAGGCTTTTTATTTCCATTATATGAATATGTCTCTCATCTGCAGAAGCCGTATATTTTCTTTATACCATCATGTCTCTCAGCTTCAGAAAGCTGTATATTTTCTTCATACCATGATGTCTCTCAGCTTCAGAAAGCTGTATATTTTCTTCATACCATGATGTCTCTCAGCTTCAGAAAGCTGTATATTTTCTTCATACCATGATGTCTCTCAGCTTCAGAAAGCTGTATATTTTCTTCATACCATGATGTCTCTCATCTGCAGAAGCTGTATATTTTCTTCATACCATCATGTCTCTCAGCTGCAGAAAGCTGTAAATTTTCTTTATATGCATGTCTCTCAGCTGCAGAAGCTGCATATTTTCTTTATACCATCATGTCTCTCAACTGCAGAAGCTGCATATTTTCTTTATACCATCATGTCTCTCAACTGCAGAAGCTGCATATTTTCTTTATACCATCATGTCTCTCAGCTGCAGAAAGCTGTATATTTTCTTTATATGAATATGTCTCTCAGCTGCAGAAGCTGTATATTTTCTTTATACCATCATGTCTCTCAGCTGCAGAAAGCTGTATTTTTTCTTTACACCATGTCTCTCAGCTACAGAAAGCTGTATATTTTCTTTAGATGCACATGTCTCTCAGCTGCAGAAGCTGTATATTTTCTTTATACAATCATGTCTCTCAGCTGCAGAAAGCTGTATATTTTCTTTATACCCCATCTCTCAGCTGCAGAAAGCTGTATATTTTCTTTAGATGCACATGTCTCTCAGCTACAGAAAGCTGTATATTTTCTTTAGATGCACATGTCTCTCAGCTGCAGAAAGCTGTATATTTTCTTTAAGCCCCATCTCTCAGCTGTAGAAGGCTTTTTATTTCCATTATATGAATATGTCTCTCATCTGCAGAAGCCGTATATTTTCTTTATACCATCATGTCTCTCAGCTTCAGAAAGCTGTATATTTTCTTCATACCATGATGTCTCTCAGCTTCAGAAAGCTGTATATTTTCTTCATACCATGATGTCTCTCAGCTTCAGAAAGCTGTATATTTTCTTCATACCATCATGTCTCTCAGCTTCAGAAAACTGTATATTTTCTTTACACCACGTCTTTCAGCTGCAGAAAGCTGAGTATTTTCTTTATATGCACATGTCTCTCAACTGTAGAAAGCTGTATATTTCCTTTATAACATCATGTCTCTCAGCTGCAGAAAGCTGTATATTTTCTTCATATGTACATGTTGCTTGTCTGTGTTGGCTGTATATTCTCTTTATATGAACATGTCTCTTGGCTCTAATAGGCTGTATATATACTTAAACACACATCTATGGGCTGTAGCAGGCTGTATATTTTCTTTATACCACCATGTGTCTTGGCTGTAGTGAGCTGTATATTTTCCATATGCTGCCGAGTCTCTTTGCTGTATGGGAGTTGTATATTTTCTTTACACCACCAAGTCTTCTGGGTGCAGTGGGTTGTATATTTTCTTTATACCACCAAGTCTTCTGGGTGCAGTGGGTTGTATATTTTCTTTACACCACCAAGTCTTCTGGGTGCAGTGGGTTGTATATTTTCTTTACACCACCAAGTCTTCTGGGTGCAGTGGGTTGTATATTTTCTTTACACCACCAAGTCTTCTGGGTGCAGTGGGTTGTATATTTTCTTTATACCACCAAGTCTTCTGGGTGCAGTGGGTTGTATATTTTCTTTAGATGCACATGTCTCTCAGCTGCAGAAAGCTGTATATTTTCTTTAAGCCCCATCTCTCAGCTGTAGAAGGCTTTTTATTTCCTTTATATGAATATGTCTCTCATCTGCAGAAGCCGTATATTTTCTTTATACCATCATGTCTCTCAGCTTCAGAAAGCTGTATATTTTCTTCATACCATGATGTCTCTCAGCTTCAGAAAGCTGTATATTTTCTTCATACCATGATGTCTCTCAGCTTCAGAAAGCTGTATATTTTCTTCATACCATGATGTCTCTCAGCTTCAGAAAGCTGTATATTTTCTTCATACCATGATGTCTCTCAGCTGCAGAAAGCTGTATATTTTCTTTATTTGCATGTCTCTCAACTGCAGAAGCTGTATATTTTCTTCATACCATCATGTCTCTCAGCTGCAGAAAGGTGTAAATTTTCTTTATATGCATGTCTCTCAGCTGCAGAAGCTGCATATTTTCTTTATACCATCATGTCTCTCAACTGCAGAAGCTGCATATTTTCTTTATACCATCATGTCTCTCAACTGCAGAAGCTGCATATTTTCTTTATACCATCATGTCTCTCAACTGCAGAAAACTGTATATTTTCTTTACACCACGTCTTTCAGCTGCAGAAAGCTGAGTATTTTCTTTATATGCACATGTCTCTCAACTGTAGAAAGCTGTATATTTCCTTTATACCATCATGTCTCTCAGCTGCAGAAAGCTGTATATTTTCTTCATATGTACATGTTGCTTGTCTGTGTTGGCTGTATATTCTCTTTATATGAACATGTCTCTTGGCTCTAATAGGCTGTATATATACTTAAACACACATCTATGGGCTGTAGCAGGCTGTATATTTTCTTTATACCACCATGTGTCTTGGCTGTAGTGAGCTGTATATTTTCCATATGCTGCCGAGTCTCTTTGCTGTATGGGAGTTGTATATTTTCTTTACACCACCAAGTCTTCTGGGTGCAGTGGGTTGTATATTTTCTTTATACCACCAAGTCTTCTGGGTGCAGTGGGTTGTATATTTTCTTTATACCACCACGTCTCTTGGCTTCAGTGTGTTGTATATTTTCTTTATACCACCATGTCTCTTGGCTGCAGTGGGTTGTTGTATATTTTCTTTATACCACCACGTCTCTTGGCTGCAGTGGGTTGTATATTTTCTTTATACCACCATGTTTCTTTTCAAACAGTGAATGGAAACTCCACCAGAGACAGCATGGACAGTAGCTCAATCTCATCAGCTACTGTGGATTCAACTCAGACACTGTTGATCCAACCCCACCAGACACTGAGGATCAAACTCCACCAGACAAACTCCACCAGACACTGGATCAAACTCCACCTGACACTGTGGATCAAACTCCACCAGACACTGTAGATCAAACTCCACCAGACACTGTGGATCAAACTCCACCAGACACTGCAGATCAAACTCCACCTGACACTGTGGATCAAACTCCACCAGACACTGCAGATCAAACTCCACCAGACACTGTGGATCAAACTCCACCAGACACTGTGGATCAAACTCCACCAGACACTGTGGATTAAACTCCACCAGACACTGCAGATCAAACTCCACCAGACACTGCAGGTCAAACTCCACCAGACACTGTGGATCAAACTCCACCAGACACTGGATCAAACTCCACCAGACACTGCGGATCAAACTCCACCAGACACTGTGGATCAAACTCCACCAGACACTGTGGATCAAACTCCACCAGACACTGACGATCAAACTCCACCAGACACTGTGGATCAAACTCCACCAGACACTGTGGATTAAACTCCACCAGACACTGCAGATCAAACTCCACCAGACACTGCAGATCAAACTCCACCAGACACTGCAGATCAAACTCCACCAGACACTGTGGATCAAACTCCACCAGACACTGCAGATCAAACTCCACCAGACACTGTGGATCAAACTCCACCAGACACTGCAGATCAAACTCCACCAGACACTGTGGATCAAACTCCACCAGACACTGTGGATCAAACTCCACCAGACACTGCAGATCAAACTACACCAAGGACTCTGGCATGTGCTTCTTCACACACAACACTCTTGACTGTGCATCATTGCGGACACTTCAGATCCCGAGCCCGGATTATTCCCATCATGGTGACAACTAAACTGCTAAATCCTGCTGTTTGCTTTGATGTAGTCTTAACCTTTGACGTTCTTTGTCTTCCAGAAGGACATTTCAAGTTCATGTACTTCTGCCGTGTAGATGTATGTCTCAGCCAAGTATAGTCCCTGAAACAATCGCGCCAATTGCAGATAATATCCCCCGGTGGAAAAACACCAAAATACTACTTCCTGTCAGGCATTTTAAAACAAGTAGGAATTTCCATTATTGCTCCCAGTGTGTAACTGTTGTGACAAGTGGTGGGCTTTGGTTGTGCATTTTCATGGCAGACATCATTGTCCTCAAAGACTTCGTCATATGATTTGGACGATCTTCACACAGGCTGTTGAAAGAACTAAGATATTCCATCCTTGTTTTTATCTCCATTCCAGTTTGATTAATATCCTCGACCCGTGTGCTACCATAGCCTCGACCCATGTGCTACCATAGCCTCGACCCATGTGCTACCATAGCCTCATTACGGCAATGACGTCACCACCTCCACTCCAATATCTAGTAGATCTCCACTCCTATCTCTAGAAGAAATGGGTCCTTTCTAATTAATCAAAACAGAATGGAGATATGAACAGTGATGAGGGCCTCATGAAAATGTGGATTATAAAAAAAATTCCAACAACAAAGCCTGGCTTTTTGCAAACCTAGCGGAGTCACTGAACACACATTAAATAATTATGCATGCCCTGTGTCACCTATCTTTGAGAGCTGGACTATTTCCCATCTACTGTTGTATTTTTTTGTAAAGTGAAATAAACATAATTACCATGAACATACATATCTATTTGTTTTTTAAGGTGTGTTGTCACTTCTTTGATAACAAACAGGGCATAAAATGTATAAAAAGAGATCTGAAATACTCTTCCAACACAAAGTCATGGAAATTGCCCCTTGGGAAAGCTGCACAAACCGAGACTGATGATAAACAAGACCCAGGATAAACAAGGATGCAGATGTGTGTTCACTTCCCACACAGAAATACGCGACCTTCCACACATGTGTGAAACATGATAAATAGTGCCTTGCTTTACACAAGTATTGTAAAATAGGAGGTAACACTAACAAATCTAACCTTCCCAAAATGAAAACATTACAGCAGGCGTTTATGCAGAAATATCACCAAACAGACTGCCATAGAAAGTGTTTAACAATTCAATCATGAAGAGCCGGGTGTAAAATAGGTCTTCAGCAACCCATACTTGCCGTAAAAGGCGACTATACTTGTCGTAAAAGGCGACTAACAGGATCGGGTTGTCAGACTCGCTGACTTGGTTGATACATGTCATGGATCCCAATTGCGTTGATCGATGCTCATGATGTCAATCACTGGATTGTCTGGTCCAGACTCGATTATTTTACAGACCGTTGTCATATAGCTGGAATACTGCTGAGTGCGGCGTTAAACAACAAACAAACAGTCAAAAACCATCGTGACCTTGACATGGGGGTGTTTTGACAGCAAGGTGACCTGTGACCTGTGACCTGTGACCAGTATGAAAAGAGTACAGAAGGTGTGTATGCAGATACGTCCTAAAACACACTGCCATAGATAGTGTTTAACAAAATACCATGACAAGGAGACTGTGACCTACCGGAGACGTTTTGACAGCATGGAGACTTGTGACTTGTATAACTCCAACTCTTCCCTCAGCAGCATGATCTCCCGGTCTCTCTCATCTACATCCTGTCGGAGATGGTACGTCGTCTCTTCCAGGTTCTCACACAGTGCCTGACAGATACACAGGATAGAGTCTCAATCAGGGAGCACTACATCATATAGGGTCGGGTAGCTTAGTGGTTAAACCGTTTGCTCGTCAAGCCGAAGACCTGGGTTCGATTTCCGACATAGGTACAATGTGTGAAGCCCATTTGTGGTGTCCCCCGCTGTGATATTGCTGGAATATTGCTAAAAGCGGCGTAAAACCACCATACCCACTCATGTGTGGATGTCTAATGTATCAGAAGTATTGGCAAAATAGGACAAGTCTTATCACTGGATTCTTTTTTTTCAGATTGAAGTTTTAAAATTCCTTTAAGTACGTTAAAGAAATTCCTTTCAGGTTTCAAGCATACTGCTGTTGAATGAATGTGCAAGTAATTATGAAAATATTTAATGAATGGTTGAAGAATATGAGACCATATTGACCACTGATCATTTAGTCCCCTCTTCCGACCTGCATAGGTTGTTCAGGACCTATTCTAACCTGGATCCCCACAAGGACATCACAATGACACTTATCAGACTGATTACAAACAGTATCCGATTGTGCATGATGGAAAATGCTCCACTCAAAGATGTTTCTCAATGTCAGCTGTCCCCGATATGATCTGGCTTAGAACTGATCTTCAACAACCCATGCTTGTTGACTAAATGGTTAGGTGGTCAGCCTCGTTGACTTGGCTGATGCATGTCATCGTATACCCATTTGTGTAGATCGATGCTCATAAATGCAATCACTGGATTGTCTGGTTCTGATTGGTTACAGACAGTCGTATATATTATGTTGTGATATAGCTAGAAAATTGCATGTCATCGTATACCCATTTATGTAGATGTTGCTCATGAGGGCAATCACTGGATTGTCTGGTCCTGATTGGTTACAGACAGTCGTATATATATTATGTCATGATATAGCTGGAATATTGCCGATCGTGGTGTTAAACAACAAACGATGTCAGGGGACAAAGGACAGAAGTAACCATGGTAGCAGGACACTTACCCGACTCTCTTCCAGACTGTCATGAGGCCCTGGAGGATCATCGAAACAGAAAAACTCCCGAACTGGCTTGCTGCAATAAATGAGAGAATGAACGTTATCGTCATCTATTCAAGCATGTGGGGGAGGAGGATCTGATCCCTTAGTACCTCTTTCGGGGCACGGGTGGCCCAGTCGTCTAAGGCGCCGCGATTCGCTGAACAGAGTTGCGTCCCTTGGGCATGCCAGAAACCTATGATTGTGGGTTCAAATCCTGGTTCACCCGGTTGTTTCTAGGTTTGTCAGCACCATACCCGTGCTCGTGGGTTTCACCAAAGTGGTAAACGTCTTAGACCTGCATCACTTCGTGCTTTCCTCCCACATTAAGCTGACTCGCCGTGATATAACTGGAATACTGTTAAAAGCGGCGTTAAACCCAACTCACTCACTCACTCAGTACCCCTTTCAGTCGTCTCTAAGTGATGCAGGTCTCAGGCATTTACTTTGGTGAAACCAATGGAACATAATCGAGGCTAACCTGGATTTGAACCCATGCTCATAGGTTTCCCAAGGGACGCAACTCTGCACAGCGAATTGTGGCGATTAGACGACTGGGCAACCGTGCCCCTGACAGTATACTGACTCCGAGCCAACCAGTTCTTGTTTTATCCCCTTCATGCCAAGCACTAGGAAGGTTTAACAATAAGTACCATCTCTTTGGCATGACATGGACGGGGGATTAAACCACTGACCTTCTGCTTTCCGGGGAGTCCTTGTATCCACTATACCACGGAGGTGGTCCACATGTATGACTTACATTGGTAACTAGGGTAACAGGTATCTGGGGCCATGCTTTGCTAAATTAGCATGATAAGCAGATCAGGTATCCAAGAGGGATGTTACACAGCTGAGATTCAGCTGAAGGGTTGGTTGGTTGGTTGGTTGGTTGTTTAACGCCACACCCAGCAATATTCCAGCTATATGATGGCGGTCTGTAAATAATCGCGCCTGGACCAGACAATCCAGCGATTAATATCATGAACATCGATCCTCACAAATGGGATCGATGACATGCATCAAGCAAGTCAGCGAGCCTGACCGGCCGATCCCAATAGTCACCTCTTTCGGATATAATCTGGATGATAGCTGATCACACAAAAACTAGCAAAGTAAAATACTATGATTAATAAATATAACACACTGAACCAACCTGTTGCATATGTCACTGTGGCCCGTGACGTTGTTGAGGAAAGCCTGCAAGCCTTGTACTCGATCCTCCAGGAAGTCGCGCTCATAGTTGCTACGAAACCAGCGTTTAGGCGGAAGAGAAAGTCGGATGCCGGGGAACATGTTCAGCAGCTAAATGAGAAAACATGGATAGTACCACAAGTACAGAAACTCACCTCTATTTAATACTGATAAAACATCAGCATATGGTCCCAAGGATGTAAACATTACAGTGAGGGGCCCAGTCGTCTAAGGCGCCGCGATTCAATGTGCAGAGTTGCGTCCCTTGGGCACGCCGGAAACCTATGATTGTGGGTTCGAATCCCGGTTCACCCCGATTATGTTTCTAGGTTTGTCAGCACCATACCCGTGCTCATGGGTTTCACAGAAGTGGTAAACGTCTGAGACCTGCATCACTTCGGGTTTTCCTCACACATTAAGCTGACACGCCGCGATATAACTGGAATACTGTTAAAAGCGGTGTTAATCCCAACTCACTCACTCACTCACTAACATTACAGTGAAGTAATCCTGAAAAGACTATGCTACTATATTCTCAATCTCTATAAAATCAGATCTTAGTTCTCATTACCGCAAAACAAAGATTTGAGGACATCCCATTACAGGTCAAATCAAATGACCTTTCGCAAAGTTTGACAGACCAATGAAATAACTAACATGAAGTCCACATTAGCCAATCGGAAAGCAGCTTTCTCAAGCTATACGGTACTAGTTTCAAACTGGCAACCACATTTTGAAAAATGCTTTGATGAAATTTGAATACTGAAAGAAGCACATCTCTTCAGTTCAAATCTTTATCCATTAAAGCAAGAGACAGACGATGATTTTGACAGAGTCAGTCGTAAAGCTGTTGTTCACATACCCCGTGTTAACTTTTTCGTGTTTGCATGATTAAAAAACACATTCTCACTGTCACTTTCCTGATCTCGTAAGCAACGCTCCGATTGGTCAGATGAAAGGTCATTCTGACGTGAACCCTTAATTGGATGTCCTAAGATCGTTGTTTAGCGGCAGCGAGAACTAAGATCTAATTTTAATGAGATTGCTATTGTCTCAGACAATCATCTAAATGATGGCTATTGCTAGCATCAGTATGAACCCTCAAACTATTGCAGAAGGAAAAGTGAGCGAGTAAATATCCCATCTGGATGTTGGGTTAGAATAGGTCCCAGCAAGTAAGCTGGTCGTAGGATTTTGTATTGTTTGTTAGTTGTTTCACGCCGCACTCAGCAATATTCCAGCTATATGAAGGCAGTCTGTAAATAATCGAGTCTGGACCAGATAATCCAGTGATTGACATCATGAGCATCAATCCATGCAATTGGTATCGATGACATGCATCAACCAAGTCAGCGAGCATGACCACCCAATCCCGTTAGTCGCCTCTTACGACAAGCATAGTCGCCTTTTACAGCAAGCATGGGTTGCTGAAGACCTATTCTACCCCGGCTCTTCACGGGTCAAACCCCAAGGAAGGGAATGTGAAGAAGCTACACAGTAACAAAAAACGTTTTTGTCAACATAAGCAATGAATCATGTCCATTTTAACATAATCATTCACCCATACTATGTATACTGCAGTGGCAACAGCAGGTCCTGCATGGACATACCCTTTCATTGAGGTGACTGAAGTCTGTGTAGCGCCGGAAGACAAACCAGGATTCATGATCTGACTTATCAACCTGTATCTTGTAGACCTACAAAGAAAAATGTCTTGCTTACTGAAAATAAACACTAAACATTTCCAACACATAACAAGACAAAAAGTGAGCAGGGCTCACTAATATCCCTGACTTCGACTCCAACATATTTCTATGTTCAAAACATGAAAAAAGCAATATTTCTCAGAAAATCCGCCTCTCGAAATCAAACTTTGCACTGCACCTCTCTTATTGGTATAGAAACTGTATACCAAGTTGGAAAAGAATCCATGAAGCAGTTATTAAGTTATCATGGTTATAGGTCGCACAAATGTTGGAAGTGAAAAAATATTGAAAATATACCTGAAAAAAATCTTCTTTTTCAGAAAATACACAAATCAAAATCAAACTTTGCACTGCACCTCTTCTATTAGTATGGAAACTATTCCCTAAATTTGAAAAGAATCCGTGAAGTAGTTTTCTAGTTTTAGGTTGCACAAACGTATAGATAAAACAATTCTAAGTGAAAAATAGCTGTATTATTTTTTAGAAAATTAAAATATTAAGACCAAACTTCACACTGCACCTCTCCTATGGGCTGATGGGTATATAAACTGTATTCCCAATTGGAAAAGAATCCATGAAGTAGTTTTCAAGTTATAGGTCGCACAAATGGCAGGATACTGTATACCCCTGCCCTTTTGGGTCGGGGGTATAGTGAGTGAGCGAGTGAGGTTTTACGCCGCTTTTAGCAATATTCCAGCAATATCACGCGGGGGACACCAGAAATGGGCTTCACACATTGTACCCACGTCGGGAATCGAACCCGGGTCTTCGGCGTGACGAGCTAACGCTTTAACCACTAGGCTACCCCGGGGGTATAATACTGCTCAGGGCTAGATTTAGCTATACAAAACTTGCACCAGTGCTACCAAATATTGAAAGATGTTCTATTACGTTCTACAACAATACGTCTTACAATAATGTGACACAGACAGCAGACCTAGATTTCAATTTTGACAAATTTCTTATGACTTATCATGCTTATGAGACCATGGTGCAACCTGGTTTTGTCGGGTGCAACTAGGTTTTCATGTCAACAGTCACCTGGTGCAAGAGAAATCAAGTTCCTGTTAAATCAAGCCCTGCTGCTGAACTGGTAACCATGGTAACAGAGCAATGAAACAACAACATGGTGCAATGATCAGAAAACCACAGAGAGAATGTTATGTCAACAGAATCTCAATAACTCAACAGATTCCAATACTAAAAAACAATTCATAAATAATTACATCCACAGTTTTTCTCAGCATGTATACAAACAATAACAATCATGGTTACAACATATACTGATATTGTCATGACAGTGAAACTGAAATTTTTGACTGGCATTACTTAGAAGTTGACGGATGACAAAGTAGATACAATTTATCATGTTTATGGATAACAACTTTTAATTTTTTTTAATTCTGTAAACATGGTAAAGGCGACGACTTGCTTGACACTGTATAAGGATATATACCAGATCATCGCCTTTACCAGTAATTAAAGCCGTTGTTATCCACAGATTGTGTCTACTTTGACAGTGAAACTCGGACACAGGAATCCTTAACAGTACAGACTGCTTTGCATGAGCAAGCAAGGGCAAAATATTTTCCAGAGTTCCAAAGAAGTTGTGTATTTCTGTATAATATGCAACACAGTTCACCATGACCCAATTTAATTTGTGTTGTATATGTATAAATACACATGAAATATGTGAAATGTTCAAAAATCCAATATTACAACAACACTATGCATAATTACCCAATATCTTTTTTACTTGCATCCCTGTGTTTCTCTACAGATACTTATCTACTGATCAATAGCAAGCATCACACATACCATTCTACTGCAGTGAATAATGAATAATAAAGGAGCTACGTCTTGCCCATTGTTAATGAGACATGTAGATCGTTGTGAGTGTGCAACATGTCGACGCAGCACACAAATAGATACAAATTAGGTCACCTTAAACAGCATCTTAATAACAATTATTTTTGTAAAATGTCTACTCATTGGTGTAAAAATACCCAATAGACTGGACCCAAGGAAGTAAAAATACACTGAATACCCAAAGAAAACTATCAATACCAAATATAAATGATAACTTGCGAGTATATACTCAATTGCTCAAAAGATTATTAGCTCAGCAATAGAAACTGATGGTCTTAGCCCACCAGTCCTAATAATCATAACATATAGCAAAACCCTCAAAAAGGGGAAATTTCTTCTAGTTCTTAGGATACCTTACTATTGGCCAGTTTGGCAAGGACCATAGGACAAGTGCCAATTTCTAATGCTGGACTTATCCCTTGGTTTTATTTTCAATGACTCACAGTGAACTTGGCTCTCTCCTCCATGACCTCATATCCCAGGATGGGCACTCGGATGTCTTCTGGGTAAAGTGTCTCCGGTTCCGCTTCAACTCGAATCTCCGGAATGGAATCTGGGTCAACGGGACAGATCTGATTCAACACCCGATGTTCAGTCCGCGGTGGAGACATTGCGGGGGACGAGCCTTCAGACGTGTCAAGCAAGGTGGGTGAGCCTGGCGGCTCACTGGATCCATCAAGACTCAAGGTCGTGTTTACATCATCTTCTTCGTCTCCCAAGCGAAGAATACTGTTGGTTGATATGGCCGACGGTGCTTCAGAGGGTTTCAGGGCATCATAGGATGTCATGGACATGTCGAGACTCGTCGGCTTGGACTTAGTCCGTCCTGGTGTGGAGGTCTTGTGATCATGCGCCAGAAAGGAGGACTTCCTGTCAAACTGAACTGATAACACTGCAGTTCCGTCATTGTGGAAACTTTCAGTGGCACTGATTCCAACACTTCCACTGTCCAGATTACTATGACTATCTGAGGAATCCATCTTGATGTGGTCACTCTGTCGATGATCACAACTTAGTGAATAAGCACCCTCTGTGAGACCAACAGCATGGAGTCTGGCTTGGTTAGAGACATCTCAATGACTTCTCTTCAAGTTTAGACAGCTGAATCATGTTCTGAAAAATACAAAAAAATCAAGTTAACATAGTTAACATGTTTAACATATCCCAACTTTGTACAGGAAAGCTTTATTTTCTACATAGCATCCAATCACTGATGCAGCCTTTGAAATTCATGGCAATCTGAGACTACAAATTGTGTGGAGGACAAGTAAATGGCCATTGGTGGTATCCCTCAGTGACCAGTAGCATTCTAGGGCTTCCATCACAACAAAGTTTCACTGTTTATAAAATACTGGAACAAACACTACATCATGTATCTTTTCACCATAACAGTGTTTCCGTTTACCGGTAATTACCAGTTTTTAACCAGTAAAGTTAGGTTTGGACTGGAAATTCATGTGACTGCCAGTCCCTGTGGACCAGTAAATAAAGTAAAATTATAAATCATTATTGATGAAAAAGACATCGGCGATATTCATAAAGTATATTTTTCAAACGAAGTCAGCTTGTCTGTTACCATCAGGCTTTCCCATCATCTAGTTTTAGCGCAAGGAAATAAAATTTCGCTGTGCACCGAGGTCAAATATATACTTGTAGCGACTCAAAATATAAAAAAAGGAGAAAATTGTGCCTGAACTTTGTGTGAATGACATGTAGATCTAAGTTACTTCAGAGAAGACGTTATTGCATTGAACATGATATTGAATAATTAAGACTGGGTAATTTTCATGTTTCTGTTTTTGTTGAGAGTTGAGACTGACAAGAAAAAGGGTGGAATGGTAATATTTAGAGTGGCCAGTCCACTCGTCCTGGCAGTTTAAAATAAAAAGCCAGCGGGAACACCACCATAACCTGTCTTCAAACAAGATCAATCACTGGAATATCTCATCAATAAATCAATCCTGAGGTCTGCTGACCAGACACAGATGAGACTAAGGTTCCTGAACACTACCGGACCATACTGTCCTGGTTTCCAAAACGATATTATATTTGAAACTTCTAACAAAACAATTACCATGACTACAGCTGTTTTTTTTGTCATCATGATCATTCAAGTTTGAAAAGATAAAAACTACCATTACTTGGTCATATCCATGTAGTACATCATATATATTTGATATATTATTCAGTGACACACATGGCCATTAATTTGTTAGTCCAAGACAAGTTAAAATCTAGAGGGACTAGTTTTTCTTTTACAAATCTAGTTATTTTGCATACGCCATTCATCTGAAATGAGCTGTGGAATAGTTAGAAATGACCAATGGTGTCCAATGATGATAATAATAATAACACAACATTAATAATAAGACAACATGTAAAGCGTATGTTCTTGGGCATGCTCCAAGTGTATACAAACACAGTCAGTGAATGTCAAAATCTCTTAAATAGATAGGTATTCATTTGGAGTTTAAAGGCGGTTAACGAATTGGCACACCGGATGTTTAGGGGGAGAGAGTCTACCCATTATTCAACATGCTATTTCGTTTCTTCCAGCGGAATACACAACATTCATACTGACTTATCTTACCACTTGCCTGATGAACGTACTAGCATCTGTACTGAAACATGCGTGGACATCAAGTTGCCTTCCATATAATGTCTCAATTTCACCCTCAGCGCTGAATATATGCAAATATACCAGACAGGTTAATTAATACTGAGACAGTAAAAATATTGTCCTGTTGTCAGTACCTTCAACAAAGTATGTCCAGCTTTCTTAACAGTTTTTTAATCAATCAGTTAAGCTACTGTACACCCAAGCCTTATTGTCACTGGACTAATTAAGTGCTAATTAATAAAGCAGACATCTGCTTGTGTGATGCTGTTGCAGGACTGACACTTTCAGATGCACAAAGATGATGGAGTACTTTGTTTTAGTAACAGATTAGTAAGACATGCAGAAACAGATTGTCATAACATCACCCCATTAGTAATCAAGGCTATATCCCCAATCTGCCATACCACTGAAACAACAAAGGATATGGTTGACTTACTCTCATGTTTCATGCCTGTTATATATCAATATATATACATTGGTTGTTGACAGTTGAAATTGGGAAATACATCATCAGGTTTTGTTTTGTTTAGTGTGCTTTAATAATACAACAATCTGCCTGGTCAGACATACTCCAGCCATACCACTGCAGCCTTTAATATCTGAACCTGGACCGGACATGGCAATTATGGTTTGACTTTGATTGAGTATAAGTGTGTGACATGTTAACATATAATTATATTTTGGCCATTTGATGATTATATTATTATGATTACAAGCATGATAAATTATATGTCATTGATGAATAGTTGAAGGGCTCTTATCCCCTAATTCGTTTACAATGTTGATAGCTGACATGACAGCAACATCCTTGTCATAACTTGGGATGTAGGTATGGTAGTGTCATTACGTGAGATGCGTTTTACAGCAGCATTGGTTGCTGAAGACCTATTCTAACATGGATCTTCACGTGATCACATCACTTTCATAAAAATAACCTGAGTATATACTTCATTTCACTGAAATTTATCTTTTAATATAGGTATTTCTAAATAAAATTTAAGGACACGCTATAATAATTCAAAAGTTAATTCAGCACCACAACCTTCAATGCAACTCACATTATAAAAATTATATATGAACAGATTTTAGTTTTCTTCTGCCAAATTTAAAACAATTATAACAAAGAAGAAGACATAAACAAGATAAACAACATATTTTCCCCTTGTTTGTATCGGATAAATTGCCAACCCATATCTCGATATGATGTAGATTACATGAGGTAAGTTGTGAAACTACCCCCGCATATTTGTCTACAATTACTGCAAACTGACCTTTTGGGCATTATATGACTAATAGGTTAAACTCTCGTGATCCGGTCAGTAATCATCTGACTAATCTAGCACGGACAAAAATAACGTGAATAATCAGGGGTAACTTGTGACTCAGTTTGACAGTCACTGGTTGATTCGCAGTCAATATATTCTACCAGATTTTGCAGAAATGATCTCATCATTCAGTGCAGAATTAATGAAATCCTAAACGATGAAAGTTGTGTCAATTCCCAATTCCACCACCATTGAGTGAACGAGTCCGACTCAAGCAAACGACGAATCTATCCCCGATTTCGAATTGCCTTCCTCTTAGAACGTTTTTCGTATTTTCACGAGGACGATGTGTACCGTTTCTAAAACAAAACAACTTTCCACGGTAATCATTTTGGACCTTTGATCGGAATAGTAAAACTAATTAAAAACCCACCACAATGGAACAGCATTAACTTCCTTTTCTTTAACAGGTGATAGACACTTGTTATGATATTTTCACGTGATTTCACCGGAAGTGATACAGCGACACCTACCGGGTCGCGTGGCAGGCACAGTATTGTCTTTACCCACCTAGTTCGGTGAAAAAGTAACAAGATCGTGTCGCATATGTGTAGATGACATATATTTATATTTGCAGACTTTGTCACTGTGAAAGCGAATTTAATGTCAAGTCATACCGTTAGATATGAGATATGACCCAACTATGAATGTTACCCAGTTGATGTGAAACCAGGGAATTTTGATACTCTCAGGGAGACTGGGGGTCATTTTGTGTGAGTTTATTGGAGTATGAACCTTCATGGAGTGAGGGCCAAACTGTATGAACGTCGGAGCTTGATATATCCAGTGTTCAGGTTCAAGTCCAATGATTTTCACGCGCTCTTCTACATTGTTGAGTCAATGTTGACTGGCATTTCAAATGCCATTGTTGACGTAATAAAGGCAACACTGATGACGTAAAACAAACAACGTGGCTGACGTCATGCTTAATGAAATCACAATAGTAATGACGTCACAACATATGGTGTTAAAGTCAGGTTGACCCTGTGCGGTCAACGCCACCACCCATTTATCAATATAGAAGACATAATACTTCTTCACCACATAAATTGTGGAAAATAAAGAAATCATGAGGAAATCAAGCGCGATTATGAAATTGACGATACATTTGTCATACATTTCCTTGAGAGTGTGTGTGTCGAAAAGATTTCACCAGAGACCTGATTTAACTGAGCAGTTGTCGGAAGATTAGTAAAATCACACGTAAAATCGTCATATTAAACCATCACACATCAATGTCAAACCATGAAATACGAAAATGCAATACACTTGATTCACACACAGGATTGTGTGTCCAGTGGTTAAAGCATGGCGTCGTAGATGATTGCTTTTCCCTGTTCAGGATACGCAACAGTGGGATTTTTGCTGCAAAACCAAATATGTTATAATAGAACCTGCCAGCCTACATAAAAAAACAACAACTAAAAAACCCATCTTGCAACAGTATATTTTCTTTGTGGCAATTAATTTATGTTTTCAACAGTCTGAAACATAATTTTTTTGTTCAAGCATACTGGGGGACAATGTATTATTTTTAAAACGATTTTCGATTACAACGATAACTAATTTCCATCATTAAATCCGGTGTTCATTGATACAACAGATTCTAAATGTCACTTATAGCTATCCCGTAAAATGATTATTATTTTCAGTGTTATCTGGACAAAAAATACATGATAATACCACACAAAAGCCATGCGTATTAATGTCGGAAGTCGAAAGTGTTTTTCTGGTCACGTATCTTGTAATTGTATACACAGGACACAAATTTGTGTGAAAAATAATACGTTTATAAAATTGTTATTCCATTTATTTATAGTATTATTACAATAATGATGTGCTTCAAGCACGCATGCACACAAACAAGTTTACAAACTTCAACTGTCGGGCAGAATATAGATTAAAATTTAATAATATCTTGGAGTAAACTATATACAAAAGGATTAATATAAGTTTATATATTTACATTTTCACTGAGAGCCACTGATTAGATCCAATTAAATTTGACAACGATCAGATTACAATATATAAAGCTGAATTTGAATTTCACGTTTTGGTTTTAGTATTACGTCCTATAGTTGCACAGACTGCCCGCACCCGTTTACGAGCTGTCGGAATCCGAGCACGAAGCCCGTACTTTGTTGTTATTTTACACCAACGTAATCGACTTCAGCGGCTGCAGTGGTGTCTACCTCATCATCAGTGGCTTCCCCAAAGTTAGTGTAGCGTTTGTTTTAGTGGCACACCCCGTTTCCTTCTTTAAAGGAGAGATGAGCGGATTCGTGTGTATACCGTATATATCGTGTGTATGTTTATACCGGATGTTGCGTACAGGTTGTGTAACGGTGTATGGAGCCATCTCTTACGGGCGAAGAATAGATCTTATTCATGCCTAAAAAGTACAAGAATCTGTACATTATTAAGAAAGTGTTATCCCAAATATAACATTTGTTACATATGACCACTTTCTAAATGTCATTGTGTGTTCATAGCTTTCGGCCATGGGAGCCGTGCCACTTTGCACTTGTCAGAGGGGTACACAAAGTATGTGATCTAGACCATCAGTTGTCGGACTTTCATTATAGTGGAAGCCTCGGTGGCTGAGTGGGTTAGGTCGCTGACTTTGTGTGCTGGCGATTAGGTGCCTCACTCTGGCAGTGTAGGTTCGAATCCCGGAGGGGACTCAACCCCCGAAAGGTGGGAGAATCTGTACTTTACTGAGAAAGTGTTATCCCAAATATAACATTTGTTACAGTTCTATAGCTAGTTTATTAACTGAAAAATATAAATAACAACGGACTTAAAATACAGCCTTATCGAACATCATTGGATGTTGTAAAGCACCCCATTCGTTCATTATTTACCTTAATACATGCGCTAACTGATCATCCCTTATTAACAAGTAAATACATCCATTTTTCCTATGAACAAGGTCAAAAGCATTTTAAAAGTCAACGAATACACAATAAAATCGACCTCTGGTTTTGCACAAATATTCAGAATAAAGAGCTTGTAAAACAAACAAGTTATCAACAGTAGAGTAGTTCGGTCGGAACCCTGCTTGAGACTAGGACAGTAAATCATTTACTTCCATCCATATCCTGAATCGTTTTTCAGTGACTGACGTGAAGATTTTCCCCATAACATTAAGTAGTGAATACCTCTATAATTACATGGTTTACAAGTTGACCCAGATTTATGCAATAAAATAATCATAATGATATTCCAAGATTCTGGAAACACACCCGTGTCTAAAATATTATTAAGCAATAACTTCAAGTATGGTACAGAGGGTTCCGGTGGTAGTTTAAAGAGTTCCGGGGGTATCCCATCTTCTCCAGAAGACTTGCCCGTACTCCTCTTCTCCAGCAGACTTGCCCGTACCAATCTTCTCCAGCAGACTTGCCCGTACTCATCTTCTCCAGCAGACTTGCCCGTACCCATCTTCTCCAGCAGACTTGCCCGTACCCATCTTCTACAGCAGACTTGCCCGTACCCATCTTCTCCAGCAGACTTGCCCGTACTCATCTTCTCCAGCAGACTTACCCGTACCCATCTTCTCCAGCAGACTTGCCCGTACCCATCTTCTCCAGCAGACTTGCCCGTACCCATCTTCTCCAGCAGACTTGCCCGTACCCATCTTCTCCAGTAGACTTGCCCGTACCCATCTTCTCCAGCAGACTTGCCCGTACTCATCTTCTCCAGCAGACTTGCCCGTACCCATCTTCTCCAGCAGACTTGCCCGTACTCAACTTCTCCAGTAGACTTGCCCGTACCCATCTTCTCCAGCAGACTTGCCCGTACTCATCTTCTCCAGCAGACTTGCCCGTACACATCTTCTCCAGCAGACTTGCCCGTACTCATCTTCTCCAGCAGACTTGCCCGTACTCATCTTCTCCAGCAGACTTGCCAGTACTCAGATTATTGATAACGTCCTTGACCCCTCTTTCAGTGATCTCACCTGACAGGAATTCCACCGAAAAGGGTAAATCATTACAGTTAGCACATTCATAAGCGAGCAGAAACTCCCCCACAACACAATGAAACCCATTTTTGCCAGTTCTTTGTAAAGGATTAAGTAGATCTGTGAAAACCAGCTTGGAGATATATAACTTCTATGTGGACGTCTCTGCATGGCCCTTTTCACTGTCCTACCTAACTGTTAACAATGATTATCACTGTGTTTAGCAGCAGTATTGATGTCTTCATTAAGATGAAAGTCATAGTTACGTTTCTTGCAACATTTCTTAACATACCTTTGGCTGATATGTGCTGCTTAAAGTTTGAATCACTCTTGCAAATGTATATATAGTTATTCATAAGTGTGTATTTTTCTGACTTCTAAAACCCGATCTCCTTATCAAACCTCGGCGGCTACTACTTTGTCTAGCTGTAGTTACTACAGAAACAGCACCAGCTGGCGTTGCACGGTACAGTATGAGCTTGCATGCTGCAGCATTTACATTTTGATCTACAATCAATATTTATTTTTCAAACAACCGCTTTACAAATATCATTGCTGAGATGTTAACATAAGGTGAAAACTGTTCTGGAGATAATATATTTTAGCAATATAGGATAAATAAACAGAAACAGAGTTTTCCTTGTAAAGTCCAACAGTAACAATTTCCTTGAAACTGCACACTACATGCAGGTCAGTGATCTGAGTGTACGCTGTGAAACTGACAAATCTAAAACATTAGGAAATTGATTCACAACACTGCAGCCAGTATGGGAGATAAAGGTCAAGTTATCAGAGCTATCCAATACAGATCTCCAAGTTACAGTATGTAAAACCAAATAGTTTACAGAAGTCTAATAAACGTCTACCATTTTTTCAAGAGTCAAGAGAATTTCTGACAAAACTAATCTGACTTGTAATCTTCATCAGTAGGTAAATAACCAACACCACCATCCATAATATAATCGAATTCACACAGTTCTATTGTTAAAATTGCCAGATACGACAAATGTTCACGTAAAATGCTATTGGGAATCTACCGAAGCCCATTAGGACCATGAATTATTTTTTTTTATCTTGAAAATTAAAGATGTCATCTTAAAAAATCAACTTCTCATCTTTGAAATACATGTTCTTATCTGGCAACAGTGTCAGTTCAAAGTAGAAAGTAAAGCACTGGGAAACAAGATAGTATAAGATAATTTTCAACTTTAGAACGTGAATTGTGAAGATAAGATCTTGAATTTTCAACTAAGTACCTTGAATTTCCAATATGATTATGAAATGGCATGACCCTCCCGGGCTTCCTTAGGGACCTCTCGTAACGATCGTTCGTCTCGTCTCTGCGTGTGGTCCGAGACATATCGTATTTAATTAATAGATCTCTTTTTAATATTGGGAATACTTTCTTCATTATGTGGACTCTTCACTATGGGATAACTGAATATATTTATGATTCATATCATTAACACATTTACATTAGAGACAATATAGGCTATATCTC